GCATGATGATGAAGGCAACAAAAGGGAAACACCATTTACTAAATAATATAAAAATGTTATCAAAATAGTAATAAATACAAGAGAAGGAGAAAAAAGTGTTTAAAGCGAGGCGAAAAAAAACATTTTCCTTGGTCAACAGAATTTTCAGTTTTATCATCTTTTTTTGTCACCTATTTTTGTTCATTTTTTGGGTTTACATTTTGGGTTGTTTGTTTCATGGAAAAGTGAATTTTAAATGATTGAATTTGCTGGTTTAAAGGATCAAATAACAAGGAAAGCAAAATATGATGATGCTCATGATGAGATGGAAGCAACATTTTCATCAAAACAAATCTTTTCCAATAACATTTTTCTCCATTCTTTTTTCTGTGGTGATGATGATTATCATCATTTTTCAAATGTTAACAACATTGAAATCGATATAAAAGAAGAGGGAAAATCTTAAATCTCATCATCAGGAAAGAAAATGATGAAAAGGTGAAAATTTCAATTTGGATGGAAAAAAGTATTTTTGTTGTTGGAACAAGAAACAAATTTCATCTTTTCCCTGATCTCGAGTTGATTGTCTTTGCTTCTGTTTTTCACCATAATATGATGATTCTAATAAGTTGAACATTAATCTTGAAGACAATCCAAGACTAAACATGTTAACAGATTCAATGATATATATTTTCATTCCATCCAGAGTCTCTTATCATCTAAAGGCCAGGTAAGATGAGCGTTGATCCAATTACTACTTGACCATTTGTAATGATAATATTTGTGCACAACTTGTTCACTAAGCTGACTAGGGATGAGGTAAAAGGTAAAGTAATAAGAAGAGGCGAGCAAGGCAGGGAAAAGGTTATATACATGTTATAAGTTTGTGTGTATTATTGCTATTATTATCATCATTATAAGTTTATTTTACCAACATTTACAGGGTGAAAGGCGAGCTGAAAGAACAACAATTTTCCATGTCATCAGGGTTATTACAGAGTTTCCAAGTTACACTCAAGAGGCTCATTCACACAGCAAACTGATTCTTCCTTGTTGCATCCCATTGTTATAACAATCACTCCTCACAATCTTTCAACTATCTTCTGTTATCTTCTTCTCTCTCTCATCTTTTCAACCCAACCAGAAGCTCTTGTCTGCATCTCTTTACATACTCAGCCAACAGTATATTTATCTGGGCATACAGTTTAGCATCCATTTTTGCTCAACTGATCAGTTTAATTTTCACTTGGATAACGAAACACTTGCTCTGTTTGCTTTTTCAACGTCAATTTGGTTCACTCTTCACCCATGTAATCGATTTGCTTGTACAAGAAAATATCATTTCTCCTGCCAAACTTCATTTTCACGTTTCAATCTCTCAGTATCATTTCATCTTGTAATCATTGTACTACTCGACTTTTTAAAGAGCAGTCCAGAATGGATCAGTGAAGTTGAATATCAAAGTCATTCAAACTTTGGTAAACCAAGGTCTGCTGACAATCGCTAACATAAAGCGTTGAAAGAGTCTATCGTATAAAGATTTTGAATGATGTTAAGATGTCAAGCATATTTTTCGGTTCGCTATGAAAAACGAATTGATTGTGATCTTTTTTGTTTAAACATTATTTATCCTTAATTAATCGGTTTAAGAGATAAAAGTCGAATTAAGTCAAATATTCACAAAGTTACAGTCTATCAATTGCTTTGTAACGAACAGAAAAATCGTCGAAAATCTTTTTTTCAACAAATTTTTCTAACTCTTTATAAGCGACTCTAGACAAAGCTCCAAGCTGCTTGCTTGAAGGTGCATTTTATAAAAGCTTATAAGCGATCCAGTCAAAAAAAGCAATGATAGAAATTGATCTTTCCAAAACAAATCGACTTCACATGAACGCTTGATATTAAATCACTTGAAACCCAAAATCTCATGATAATTCAATCCTCAAGAAGTTAGTTTAAACCCGAATCTGAAAATCTCCAATTAGAGGATCGGGATTTCAATCGACTTTTTGTTGTACCAACACCACAAGTCTAAGCACTTTTTAGGCGATTGTTTGCTATCTTTTTCAACTTTGCAAATTCATGTGAATAGAACCATTTGATAGTCTTTGAGCTGAACGAGTTGGAACTGATCAATACAAATCTTTGAGTAAAAATCTGAAGGTTTTTATTAAAAATGAAAAATTGGTTAAAATCTGTCAACACTTTGGCTCATTTCCACTTTCAAATGAACCTTTTTGTAAAGCAAATGTTGTTGCTGAAACAAGCAAAAAGATTGATTACTTTGAAAGAAATTTTGATTAGCAAAACAAAAACACTTTTCATTTCCAGACAAATTGAGTTATTCATTGATTTTCATTTTCCATTAATTACAATTTACGATTCCAATGAACCTCAGGCAATTCATCTATCTTTCCTTCAGTCAAAGCTCTGCTTTAAACTCATCATGGTAAAAGCTGAAACTAGTGATTATTGCATTAAAACTTGAAATCAATTTTTTTCCAAGTTTCTTTGCTCATTTAAAGTTCAACAGTGAAAGGTTGAGAAAAAGGTTTACATGCAATTTTCATGTTAAGAATTGGAGAAATATTTTTCCTTTGAGAAGCAAAAAAAGTTATCCTCAGTTTGATCCCAACTTGTTTGTTAACTTAGTGATAAATTATACACAGATGATGATGAAAGGCTTTTTTTCCTTGCTTCAACAATAACATCAATTTCACTCCCCATTGGGATCAACAATTACAGGTTGTAGTATCAAATGTTGAGCGAAGAAAAAAAATATTATTACATTCAAGTAACAACAATAATAACCCAATTGACCTGAGAAGGTTAAGAAGCTCCTTTTTGAATCTTATTTTTTTGTTTGGTGTGAGAATGAAAACTCAAAGGATTTGACTTGAGGTTAAGATTATTGGTAATGTTGTTGAGGTAAAGTTCATGATGAAGGTTGATCTTGTTTACAGTTGAAAAAAAAGAAGTTTTGTTTCAATTCTTTTGCAGTTTCATTGTTGCTTCCGATTGTTGTCATGAGAATGGAAAGATTAGTCTTGAATCGTTTAGCACTTGTAACCTGTTAATAGTGAAGAGTCAATGGTCAGCCTTCATCAATCAGGTCAACTTGATTTGAATCGTTTTTTGAACTTGACTTTTCTCTTCTTTTCCGTTTCCACATTTTTCCCATTTTACTATTGAAACAGTTTCGTTTTTTTCCTCGTTTTGTGCTCATTTGATTAGTTGTCTTGTCTGGTTGCTAATGAAATTTGTTGAGCCATTTTTGCCTCTTCTAGTTAACTGTCAATCAATTGTACTTTTTGTTGTTTCTCCAGAAATGAGCTCAGTTTTGAGTTGTTGCTGCAAAATTTTGTTGTCAGATTGGTGACATTCTCATGATTTGCGTAAATTTGATCGGTACATGTGAACTTTTCTCAATGTTAAAGTCACCTTTTTTTTATACAGCCTAATGAGACTCGATTTTGTTGTCACGAGCTTTTCCAATTGAATTTGCTTTCAATTGTAAAGTCCAATTAAGTGGTGAATAACAGTGAGATATTGCATACCAGTAAAAAGATAACATTAAAGGCATTAATGGCAGGCTATTTGAGAGACTCAAAGAGTCACATTTAATGAGCTAAATCAGGTTATTGACAGTCGAACCTTTTCACGAGCAACTCTTGAAATTGATGCATAATGTTGGGTTAGAAATGAGTTCAACTTTTGGACACAAATCAATCATGAACCAATTCATCTGACAACGGACAAATGTGACCACTTAAGACTACAAAGTATTTGAAAGTGGAGTAAAAATGGTTTTTCAAATTCTCATTGAAAAGGCAAACTCTTTAAAAATCTTTCTCTAAATTCGTAAAAAGTTTTTCTTTACAAACATTTTTGCTCCAATTTTCAAAAAGATCAATTCTTTGAATCGGTTTGCAAATTAGAAAATCGAAAATCAAGAAATTCGAAAAAAAATCAATCGAAAAAGCAAAGTTTCTCAAATCACAATCGATTTCGCGTTTTCCAACCAAGAGCCAATACAATGTTCTGAATGGTTATTCAATGAAGTGATAACCGATTAAAACATTGAACTAATTGGTTTTGAGTAAATATCTGACAAAATGAATCTTGAAAAGTCCGAAAAATGAAGCTCAACTCTTAGCATAAAAGCTTTGGAGTCTGTTTTAGTTCAAACATCAATACTTGAGTCTGGTAAATGTAATGAAGTTATTGTTAACCATTATAAGACCTTGTAGCTTCAAGTACTGGGCTGAACTGGGTTGACCTGTTGGCTCTGGCAGAGATGCTTTGGACAGTTATTTTGGCCATTGAAATGATTCTCATCGAAACAATATGAAGGGAAATGCAAGATTAAAAGTTAATCATTTTGACATTTGAGAGTTGTTCAACTTTTTGTTGCTGTAAATTGAACAAAAGTTTATCTTGATTACAATTGATGACAAGTTATATTAATTTCATTTGGAAACAATAACGATAGATGCTTTGCATGATACAAGCTTATTGAATAACACGTTTCTCAAGGTGTTACAAAGGGCAAACATATTATGACCAGAGTTGAATTTCTCATCGTTTATCTTCATCATCTTCTTGCTTCTCATCTTTGGTTTCATTGAGAAAAGGGAATCTCTTGTATCCAATTTTATCTCTCATCCATATCATGTTCGACTCTAATTAACATTGAAACTTGAAACAATCTAATTGACTTACAACTAGAGTTTTCACAACAAATGTAATTTTGCATTTATTAATTTTCCCTTCAATATAAAAAAAATCATTTTCCTTGCAACAATCAAACTTAATGAAGGAAAATGAATTTATGAAAAGTTCCGATTGACTCAAGAAAATGATTTTCTGGTTGGTTAACCAGCTTCAAGTCGATAGTGAATCAATAATTGTAAATCACAGAATCCATGATAATGATCTTTTCCTCTTCTCATCATTCATCTTTTTTCTATTAAATTTTGCTTCTTTTCCATTCTAACCTTTTCCAATCTTTTATTTCTCAGGGAGGTTTGGGAAGTCGCCATTTGGTTCATGAGTATCTCATTCCAATACATTTATCCGGGAAAAGGTCAAAATTCCGTGGCGCTTTTATTCTGGACACTTTGCTCAACTTCGATGAAACTCCAAACTCTCAAGATATTCCAACGGACATTGAAAGGGTAAACTCAATGAACTTTACAATTCTAAATGAAACATTCCAATCAAAGCTCACCTCATCATGTCACGTAAAATATGTTATCTGAAATTTGATTCAACTGTTGGATCAACTTTATCATGACCGCTGTCTTAAATAAGTTGCAAATGTCAGAAAATGAATCTGTGAAATGAGCATCATTTTCTGGAAAACATTTCATGATATTGTCAACTTTAAGACTAAGCCATTAGCAATTTGCAATTTTACATAAAAAATAAAGTCGACTTATTACGTTTAAAAGTATAAACAGCTTTCAACTTTTCCCATTTCTTGTAATAATAATGCAAATAACTGGAAACTTTGGAAAAGGCAAATCTCTTGAAATTTACAATTTCTTGTTGCTCGATGTTTATTGGGATTTAGTTTGAGCATATTTGTGATCAGCTAAAGTTGCTGAAAATGTTATCAATTACTTGACAGCAAAAATTGAGTCCAATGTTTCAAGTGAAACCTATGATGAGCAACTTAGCATTTAATCAAATGGCAAGATCATGTTGGAATTAAATGTTTGGCTTTTACCTCTAGAAGTTTCAACTTTCAGACTTAACCTAGTTTCATCATTTTTCATCTCAATTTCACTGATGATGATGACTGGCAATGGTGATGAGATACTAAAATAAACATAAAGTTTTTTGTCGAATGGTTGGTTCCACTTTCACGTTAACTGATTGTTGCCAGTTTACGAAGCTTATGTAAGGCTTGTTACAGGGAAAGTTGATATTAATATAAATGAAGAAGAAGAAGAAAAAGAAAGCTAAATTACCTTAATTTAAAGTATTCAAAGTAATGCTCATTATGAATCTGGAAGGAAGATGAAGATGAAGAAGATGGAGAAGCTAAATTAACCTTTTGTTGTTGTACCATTTGTTCACCTGAATAACATTATCATGAATTCATTGAGGAAAATAAGCTTTCAAATAAGGTTAATAAGCGCACAATTGAAAACCATAATTGTCAATCACGTGTGAAAATATCAAAATGTTAATTTACTTTTGTTAATCATTTGGTTTAGTCTGGATTGGGAACAAAATTATCCGCTCAGTTTGCTAACGATTTTTTTCTTCTTCTTTTTTTCTTGTTTTCTTCATTTAGGTTATTCCATTTTGGGGTAAAGATTCACCTGACAATTTGAAAGGTGATTTTGTTGCCAGTTTTACACGTAAATCAATCGATTCTCGTCTTTCTTCAACTTTGGCTAAACATTGGAAGGAAAGGAAAGGATTGACTCCATTCAATTTGGTTCCAGTTGATATTGCGACTCTTCCCTCTGAAATGCCTAATGTCAAGATATTGTCTGATCATGTAAACTTTTTGAGAAGTGATCATGTAATGTTTTGGTATCACAACAGCAGTATGCACAAGCCAACATTGAAAGCCGTCTTTCTCACTGATACAGGTAAGTTGAGGTTACACTTGGACAACAATATAAATGGATCAAGACAACAAGAGGGTAAAAAGAGATATTGGAGAGTTTTCCCTTCAAAATATTCAATTCTCAAAAGTTAATGACGATGCTAAAGGCTGAAGCTAATAGCGCACCTCATCGCGTTAACAAAAGTGCGTTTGTTGTCTGTAGCATTACTCGACTGAAGTGTAAAAAGAAAGGTTTAATTGCTGCAATTGATAAGGAAACCTTTGTCATCGTAAGGAGAATGTCTGAGTTTGCATTGAGACATGATCCGTAAAATTTTTGAGTTCCAAGCCAAACTCATCATAGATGTCTGCTAATGATTTTTGTCTCATTAATAGTCTGGTGGAATGATCAGATAGTTTCAATTTCAGTATTTCTTGTAACATCTCGTCCTTCCTCGCTTGCCGCAGGTTAAGTTTTCCTCAATTTTCAATATCAACAAATTTCTTATGAAGAAATTGATCAAACGAAATCAGATCAACTATAAAATGGGATTCTTAGATAATTATTTCGTTAAATTAAAGCGAAAATCTCTGGCAAATTAATATTCTTAAAACTTTATTCCGATTACAAAAATGATTGAACTTTTTTGTTTTACTCTTCAAAAAGTATGGATTGCTAAAAAATTATTCAATGTTACAACTTATAACCAAATCAATCCCAATATCCATTTGTTTAATTTCTTACTTTTAAGTAACTTCGTAATAATCCCTAAATCTATGCGATTTGATGTCCTTTGGACAATCGTTAACTCTACCAATTGTGAATAAATCTTTATTTACACTCAGCTGAATATGCTGACTGATCCATTTTTGATCATCGACAAAATCCTCAACAAATAAAATATTCAAATATCAGTTGACTTCTCAATAAGTCGAAACTGAGCACTTTTCAATTGTGGACTTTGCAACTTGAAAAGGTAGATCTTCGAGTTTATCAAATTATATCTTCAGGGAAATGCTTTAACGATCTTAATAAATCAACCTCAAAATGAAATATTTTCAAACTGAAATATCATTTTTGAAGTCGATTTTTTGCAAAACAATTTCCATTCGTTACCAATTGTCAAAGCTGAACTTGTTGAAACAGAAATTCGATTCGATGTTATTTCTCTTGAAGAAGTTGAGCCTTTTCAAGTATAAATCGCCCCATGTTGAGCAGTCTATTTTGATCATGTTTTTTGAAATAAAATCTCATGCTATTTTCACCCATTCTTGAGCTTATTATTGAAACAACAAATGGTTAAACAGATAAACAAAGCAGACCAAAGGCTATTCAAGGATTAAACTGGTTACTATTGAAAGGCAGATATAAAGCGATTTGTAAAAACCATGCATTTGAATAATCATGAATTATCATGAATTTGGTGAGAGAAGAGAAAAAATATGAATCTTTTGTGAAAACAAAATTATCTTCAATTGGTGTTGAAAAAGATGTAACAAACCTTAATCTGTTATCATTTTTACTTCTCACACTGATTCATTTGATAGGAAATTATTGCTATTATTATTATTATCATTATTATTATCATTATTGTTGCAATCATTTGATCACGATAAGATGATGAAGAAGAAGAGAATTTCTTTTTTTATTCATAAAAAGAAATTCAAGTTCATGGTCGTTCAATTATCATGAGAAGCATGTTAAAGCAACAAAAAGTGAGAAAAGGATGAAGATTACAGATGATGGAAAAGATGATCAAGAGTAAAGATGAAGTAGGAAAAGTCAACATGAATGATCCATGAGATTATAATTCACATGAATAACCATTCAGTGATCATGTTATTTCCATCTCTAGTAAATATCTTTTTGTTGACCATTTTTAATCAGCTATTTAACTTGTTATTTGACCATTTCATCTTCAAATCTGGATCAGTTTCTTTACTTGATCAACATATTACTTTAAACCCAAGTTATTGACCTTTCCTGCTTTTCACCTATTCTTGTTTCAATAGGTGATTATTATTGTTGTTATTGCTTTACTTTAACATGTTGCTTGTAACCAATTGAATTTCAAATTGGTCAGATGAGGTGAGAAGAAAAGTTGATCTTCCGAAGGCAACTTGTTTTTGCAGTCATTTAATTAGATTGAACAATCAAATGTTGAATAAGAATAAAAATTGAATGAAAAAAATCTTTTTTCTTGAAATGGCTTTAAAGGCCGTAATTAGAAGATGACCCCTTTCAAGAGATTAAATGAATAAATTTAACTTCATTTTGGGCAAATGTGTTGACAAATAAAGGTTGATTGGTTCAACATTTTAAATGACGCTCATTTAATTAAACTGTTGAAATGGTTTTGCTTAAAACCAATGAAATTAGTAAACTCAAGTGTCATTGGATTTAATGTAAATCAGTAAAGGTTAAGTATTTAACCTAACCTAACGTAACCTAGCCTATGCTTTAATGGGATTCAAGTCAACTTAATGTTTGGCTAAGTAGAAGTATCGATGCTTTACCTGGCAATGGTTTGAAGTAATTTTTACCAAAAAGTGATAATTTGATGGAATTATCAGGCAAAGAACAACAGAATGGAGAAAAAATTGAGCTTTCAGTTGTTTCTAGAGCCATTAAAGTGACCAACTGCACTAGCCCATGCTTTGGTAGTACCCATACCTTTATGATTGACCTGTCAGTTCTGATTACCTTTTTGAATATCATGAGACACTAGGTCAATGTGTGGGCATTGATATTCGCTTTTCAGTGTTCAGGATGCGCAATTATGCTCTTGAAATTGGCTCACAAAAGTATAAAAATAATCAATGTGCAGACACAGTGATAATTGGTTGAACTATTTTTTGTCTCATTATCTAAATTTGAGATGCTATCGAGTCAACTTTAAGTGACATTTATGCCATTGAAAAATTCATCTTGCATGTAAAACATTCGAGCCAAATTCAACATTTGTTTTCCTTCTTTTATACTCGTTGATGCGTGGATATTTTCCAGAGATAAACTGAACAACTAGTCTGTTTTGAAAATTTACTGCAGCTCATCAGAAAACGGCAAAACGAAAAGAAAATTTGCTTTTCTCAAAATTCCAAACTGTGACCTGACAATTATTGATTTTGCAAATAAGTCTCTCCGATCGTAAAATTATAAAAAGTTATATCTAATTAAGGTTGAGAGAAACGATAAATGCAATTATAAGTAGCAATCATTTCAGCGCAAAAAAGGTTCTAAGATTTAGATTCAAGACAGATTCCATATATCAGCGTAAATTGACCGAACATCTGTCTGTTCAACTCAGTTTTCCTTATAGAATCAAGAAAAATCCAACAAAATATCATCGATTTCTATCAACCTTAACTATTATTTCAATCTGCAAGGAAAGTGATTCACAACTGTTATCAGGCCAGACTGTTGATGACTTGAAAAGAAATGCTATTCAATACGAAAGATTCACACTTGATACTAACATCTGAACGTAGCGCATTTGATGGTTAAACACGCCTGATATTGACAGTAGCTAGTGTTGAACTTGATGTTGTCCCATTTGATGTTCAATTGTTCAAGTGTGCCTTGTTCATTTGTTAACCTAGATCTTAAGTGGTCACCATTAAACTAGATAACCAAAACGGTAACCAAAATTGTATCATCAGTAAAACCATTGTTTGATTCAACGAATCACTTGACCCAATCAGGTTCAAATGACGATCCCAAGACAATATGCAACCGTCACTATTTGTGTTCACACAAGTCCATCAACTGATCAATTCCGCCAACACTCATTTCCCATTTTATGAACCTTCATCTTGCAAGACACTGAACCAAGAAAAGGTCAAACAAAATGGAACAAAATTTTCGAGTTTTTCTAGTTTCTCTTTTAGACGTTAATCATTCATAAAGTTCAACTTTTCCCTGGAAAAGATTACAATTGTTACAAAGTTTTTGTTGAACACCAAACAGATAAGCAAAAGGTTGAGAGTTGATGAAGATGAATCAAAAGACGTGTCATCATCAAGTTCATCCTTCATAGGAAAAGGTTTTTCAAATTGATTTTGTAAAGTGAATTAAAGTTGAAAAAAAAGATGAAAAGTTGGATACAATGAAAATGATGGTTAAGTGAGTATTAATAATGAAAGTGAAGATGAAAATGGATGCGAGTAAAGTGATTAATGAAGATGCTTGTTTTGCCCTTTCATATCTAGCCATTGATTGTAATTAATTGGCCTTCTTTCACTTCTCTCTCTCTCTCTTCAACACACATTAAGCTTTCCTTGGTCGTTGTTTCATCTTTCATCTTTCATTCCTCTATCATCATCATCAGTTATTATTGTTATCATTTTCTTGATTCCCAGCTTTGCGCTAATTCTTGCCTTTTTGTTTCGTTAACATTTTCCAGTCATTTGAGCAAATTGTGAAAATGCTTTAGGACAAAAGGTTGGGCCTGAATAAATGTGTAGCTTCTTGAAATGAACGATCAAAAACTCTTTTCTTGTTTCAATGGCTTTTCATCATCACCAACCCTCTGTCAAGCCATCATAATGAATATTGTTACTTCATTTGACAGTTAATCAAAGTTGATTCCATATTTTATCATCATTTGTCAACCAAATGTTCATCCTGGTTCTTTATCATTGCATTCCATCATAATCATGGAAATGAATAAATCAACAATTGAAAGGAAAGTCTTTATTCAGATTATTTCATGTTTAAAGCCAATGTTTAGACAAGTTTGGTCTTGACCAAGTGACAATCGTTCCCATGATTAAGAATCAAAGTCACTAGTTTTACAGAAAATTGTGATAACAAGCTTTAGCATAAATATTAATAGATTCAATATCAACTGAATTTGTGGTTTCAAGTGAAACTTTAAGACGTCGAGTTTCAGGAATAGTTCTACAATTAAATCGATGAGACAACAAAATCAAGACTAAACTCAATAACAATCACGGGAAGCGATTAGTGACTGTGAATGATCAAACGATTTAATCCATTGAAAAAATCTTATCAATTTGTGACTAACAATTAGTAAAAGCATTTCCATTTTTGGATCTGTTAAGCTCATTTGCAACACTGATTTTAAAAGTTGCGATAAATGTATTGAATGGAATCGAAGTGCTCATTAGGATGAAATATTTGGTCATTTTGTGATGAAAGATAGTTAATCATGAATTTGATGTTTATTTAAAAAACAAAGTAACATTGATAAAAGCTTGCCTAATCTGGATCAATGAAACTAGGAATCAATGAAAACATTGTTAGTCTTTCTTTAGTCTGTCTGCTCAATAGCCAGACTTGACCCAAGACTTTACTCAAGCAAAATTATCTAATCGGAATCAAGTGCTTATTAGGATCAAAATTGGTGACCTTTGTGAGTCAATACAGTTTTTTTAAGTTTTTATCAACCTTGTTGACTCAATGACTATCAAATGGGCAACATTTTCCAGCACAAGTGTTGTATCAAACAATTTGGTGTTTACATTCAACCTTTAAGAGGGAAAATATTTTCATTCTTGTTCTCTGTTCGTCTTTAAATATCTTTTCTTTGCAAAGATAAATTTGAAACTAATCGGAAGCCCTACACAAGAACCGGAAAAGTTATTTATTTATTTCACCTTTCACTTGGATTCTAATATTAGCCTTGGCTGATTAGTTTGCTTCCCTTGATTTACATTAGAGCCATTCAAATGAACCCAAAACTGTCCTCGCACATTTTTGGGTAAAAACCAAAAAAAAACAAAGGTCTACATTTGAGAGGAGGAAAAGAGCATCATTTACAGATTAAAACATTCTTGCGATTGTTACATGGAATAACCATTTTCTCAGCCATAATTGGTAACTCAAAGTGACATGAATTATACACAGGGAAAAATGCATTTATCCAATCGATCCCAGACTCTAACGCATCTGGATAAAGTAAATCTGAAACATTTAAAGTTATTTTCAGATTATTTAAACTGTTATTGTCTATTTTGTTTATCAAACTATTCAAATTAGGTTAGATCTGGTTGAGTTGAATAAATAAACAGATAAAATTGGTACTTCTTTGGCTGCAAATTTTGCCCAAAATAATTTCTCGACTCGCTTTAATCAATAACATTTAGTTTACTCAACATTTAAATCGATTCACAGCTTTTACGAATCCAATCATCTAAACATCAGAGTAACAGTGAAACTAGGGGTTGAAGCTTGCTCTTGTCAACCTAAAGCAAGCCAACCTTAAGTCACTAAACCAGTCAAACCTTGGGTCAGCTCCGCAACTTGAATTATAAATAATGAAAGTCAGATTCTTGAAAATCAACAATTTTCCAATTTCGATTTCATGAAATTCTTGAACTTTCATTGCTTTTCTCTTGAAATTTCATGATTTGCATCAACATTTGACTTCATTTGTTTAAGAATCTTTCAAAAGATTTGAAGGTTTACCGAAAAATTGGGGAAAAATTTGTTGTTTATCAAAAGCTTAACATTTGGTTGAGTAAACCAGAAAATTGGCGCAAAAATCAACTTAGAATCCCATTAATCGCGCCAAAAAAAGTGTCTCTTTTCGAATCCTAATGTTGTACCTTTTTGTACAAAGTATACTCTTAATGGGATTCGAATGTTAATATTGAACAATTTATCGTGCAAATATTGAAATCTATTTGACTTGAACAGCTTTCACTTTCTCAATACATTTAAGTATCATGTTGTCTTGTTCATTATTTGTTGATCCTTGGGAACATCTTTACTCATCTGTTAACCATTAATCTTAATTATCTCTTTCATTAGGACCTTTCCGTGGTTACATGAGGAAATGTTATCATGAAACTTGCGATGATTTAAACCTTGTAACTGAAACAAATCTTAAATTTTTGAAGTTAATTGTTGAAGTTTTAACAGCTTCCATCATTGACATTGGCGATGGTTACTGTAAAGGTAAATTAAGTTACAAAATGAATTTTCCTCTTAACCCGAATCATCATCATCATAATCACAACCATTGACTATATAATTGATTGTCAACTTGAGAAATATAATTAACTTTGAGAGAGACTTATGGAAATGTTTCAAACAAAAGTAGTTAAAGTGTAAAACAGTTTATGTTGATCTGAATATTATTCAGAGAGAAATGAATTTCAAGATGGAAATCCGGTGAAAATGAATTTTGTGAAAGCTCAATTTCAGGGTTTAGTCACGTTTACCAATTCACTTGAAATTTATCATAAAAAAGGATCATTTTCTTACCCTTTTGCTTCATTTTTTTTGGCTAAATTTTCGCTGTTCAGTCAATGAGACTTTCAATTGTTGTTGTTGTTTTAAACCTAAAACTATCATTTATTGAAACTGAAAAATGGAAGAGCAAATAAGTTGAAAGAAGGCAATTTTATGCTTGAAATCGGAAGAGTTGAGATAACGTGAAATATGGAAGAAAAGAGTTGAACCCAATTTTTTGTGAACACACATTTACATACTCAGGTAACCAAGCAATTTGGGTTTGTTGCTCATACTTTTGGTAGACAATAACTTTAGTTATTGGCCTTAAATCACACAAATTCATTATCATGATAATTTATTATGTAAATTCTGGTTGAACAGATGATAAAGAGACTTGAGTATCTTTGGGTTACAATTTTGTGTTTCTTCTTGTGTAAGCTTTATGTCAATGGTTAGTTAATTAAGGTTGAGGTTTATTAATATGATGATGATAATTAGAGGAATGGGTGATGTTGATGAGGATAAATGTAAAGAATGGATTCATTCATTTTCTTGTGATTTTCTTTTCTTCTTCTTCTTCTTCTTCTTTTTATATTTCAGTTTCATCCAAAGGATCAACTAAATCGGATGTAAGACAATCAAGTTCACTTCGAGCATATCCAATGTCATTAGTTTACCTGACAAGTTTTACAATAATCATAACCATTATCAACAATAATGGCAACACAAGGCATTAACGTTGAAATTGGTTAAAGACTGGTCTACATTGTAAAAGGATGACGAGAAGACAAAAGAAGCTGAACAGAAATGATGAAAAGACTCATAAAGATTACCTTTAAACTATTACCAGAAACAGGTTCACCATTTCAATTATTACATTTTGTTTTTAACCTCGCAGGCGAGTTAATGAAATAACTGCAAAGGTAATTCAACTGATCAAACAATTACTCTGATCACAAGTCTCTTAATTGCTCATTATTCATTAAACTGGACACAATTTATTTTCCCATTTTAATTTGTCATTTATTAACAGTAAACCCAAAAATGTTTTTGAAAACAGTTGGTAAATTGTCAATGAAAATCTGGTTAAAAAGCTTGTTACATTTACAACCTAAACTGGTTAACCTCTAGTTTTAATCATTACAATTGTATATTTTTTTATTAAAATGATGTTTAATTTTGTCTACATTGTCATTGATTTAAAATTTAACCTAAAAATTGGTTCATTGTTACCCATTTTTAGCTAAGGTCATTTCAAGTGTTTTACATGAAAACCAGAACATTTGGTTGATGTTAATTAACCTCTGAAAACCCGCAGAGTTGAATTAGTAATGAAACAAGTTGTCTGATTACTAATTTAGCAAATCATTTTTAATTTACAAGAAAATTCTTCCGTTAAAATCGCCTTTTAAGGACTATCCCTTTACATGGAAGCGCACCTAACCCAAAACGAGTTTGACAATCCAGACTTGAGTGGGACGCGACTCAACCTAACCAGGTTTAATGGCTTCACTATGTCAAGTGTTCATCACTACTCGGCCAACAGGACAGACTTAAGATTGTTGAATGTTAATGTTAATTTTAATGTTAATCTTTACTTTGATTAATTAATGACAATTGTATTAACTCTTGTTGAGACTAGAATAAAATTTTTCCTTTCCATTGACATGTTATTAACTTTCATTTCAAAGCAAGTCAACCTTTGCATTAATTTCGTGTCTTTACTTTCAATGTTTTTTGTTTGCTGATGGATTTTGGGTTCGCTTTTCTTTGGTGGAACAAAACAATTCAAGTTTCAGGTGAAACCCATTGAACACTGAGTGACAAACCTGAAGCAACATTCAGAGTCATTCACTTTTCTTTGGTACAAAAAAAAACAACAAAGAACAACAAAAATGCTGATGAAACAAGAAGTATGTGAATCAACCAAGTGCATCACACCATTTATCGGTATTCATACCCAAGGAAAGTGAATGTAATTTTGTCTCACATTTCGCACTCATCCTCATCATCTTTACCTTCATCTTCCGACTATTTTTTCAGCTTATTTTGCTTCTTTTTTTTCTTGCTTCTATTTCAAAATTTTACTTTCATCTCACCTTTTCTTGTTCTAGACACTTCAGCTACCAACTTTTACTCAAGATCAGGTTTTCAGGGTAAAAAAGTTACTTTAACCCTTTCAGTCTTTTCACATAATCATCATCATCATCATGGTTGTATGAAAGTTTACCTTTGCAGGTTGGAATTAGTTTTATCTTCTTCTTATTTTTTTGGTTAATTTCAAGAGACCGAATGGCCATTTTTCATTTCAAATAATAACATAATTTTTTGGTGCAAAAATTTCTCATCCTTTACTAATCATTATATGAGAAACAATATTAATTTGATTATGAAATGAAAAGAATTGAAATTTTTCTTCTTTTTTTCAACTTGATTTACAGGTTATTACAGGCAACAACTTATGAATGTGAATATGAAAGAATAAAAAGCTTTGAAAAAATAAGCTTGTTGTCATTGATGTCTTTTTTGGTGAAGAGCAAGATGATCAGACCGGGAGAAACGTCGCTCACAATGGCTACACTTGAAGGGCTTGCATCCAGTGTGTTTCCTGTGATGGCGGGTCAATTCATCTGATCGGGCAAATCGCCATTCACAGTCGGGCCAAGTACATTTGTATGGCTTCTCTCCTGTGTGAGTTCTTTGATGAGCTTTAAGATGTGAAGACTTGGTGTAAACTTTCTTGCATCCATTGTATAGACACTTATGAATTCGACGTTTATTGTTATCTGGGTTAATTTCAAATCGACCCTTGGATTTTGCTCCATTTGGTGCATTTGAATGGTTGACATTGGTGTTGGTGATGTTATTTAGACTGTTAGCAGTGTTGGTGGTATTTGTAGGGATGTTTTCATTGGCAGCAATTGGTTGTCCCGCTTCGCGAGCTTCACTACAAGTTAACTTTGAATTAATTGAACATATTGGTGAAGATGGTGAAGAAGTAGAGGAAATTGGTGATGGTGAAGGTGACAAAGATGATGATACTGATGGTGTAGAGGATGAAGAATTAATTAAGGAAACCGTTGAAATTGTTAATGATGCTGGAGATGAAGGTAGTGAAGATAATGTAGACAATTTTGATCTGGAGGTTGTTGACGAAGAAACTACAAATGACAACGAAGATGAAAGTGAAGATAAACAAGACGATGTAGAAGATGAAGAGGAAGATGACGATGAGGAGGATGAAGAGGATGAAATTGATGAAGAAACTGGTGAAGATATTGATGATGGAGCTGGTGATGTTGGTGAAGAAGAGGATGATGATATTGATGATGAAGAGGAGACTGAGGATGAGGATGAGGACAGTAGTGAAAGAGAGGGTAAATCTTTCAAATATCTTTCCATTTCCAGTATGGTCTGTTGCCAACTATCCTCTAAAGATGAATATTGTGACAAGTATCCAGTATCAAGGACAGTTTGAAGTTCAGTGAAAATATTAACAGACGGAAGTATATCCATGGCTGAAAAAATTGTGCAGACAAACAAACAAAGAAGAGGGAAAACGAAGAGAAATATATATATTTAAATATATATAATCAAAGTTGAATAGTTATGTTATGTATATACTTTTTTGTGTGTTGAAGCAATGGTTAGGAGAAAAATGATGGTAAAAAGAAGTAAATCCAAATGTTGTTTCTTGTTGAGACAGAGAAGAGAGTAGCAAAAACCAGAGAAAAAAAAGAGAGGAAAGCAAGAAAAAAGAAAGAGACTGGTAAAGAAGAGAAAGAGAGGCAAAAATGGTAAAGACAGAAAAAAGTGAAGTTTAGAGACAAAGACAGTTGAAGTTTAGTTTATCAGTTGGTAAAGCAAAAATCCAATGGTTAAAAGAGTAAACTGTTACAATAGTTATGTTATAATAGAGGACAAGAAAAATAACACAGACACAAGAGTGAACAGAAATATAAAATATACTTTTTTTTAATCAACAAGCAGACAGGCAAATATATATAAATGTATTATAAACCAACAGAAACTACTGAGACAGCCATTTGATTCTAACCAAAACTCAGTCTCAACAAATGCTTTAAACAAGTTGAAGACAAGATTCCCAACTGTACAGACTCACAAGAGCAAAAATTCAAATAAAAATAGCTTAACCAACAAACCAACCAATCAGAATTGAATAAACTGTAAAAACAGCGACATCTACCGAACTTGAATCTGGCTACATGACAAATGCCGGTTTTTTTCTCAAGGACAGACAAGCGAAAACCTAAAAAAACGTTTTTTTTTGCTTACAATTCACTCTCTTTACTTTCTTTAGTCTCTCTCTTTTTCATCTTTCTCTTTCTTTTTCTTCTCTCTCTTTTTTATATACTCTTGTGTGTATTAATATATTGTAATATTGAGTTTAATTAATGACAATCAAAATAATAGTCTACAATATCAAGCATTTAATGTGATGTACTGTAAAAGATGTAATGGTACAATGTTATGACTCTTTTTATCTAACGGTTAAACTGGTTAATTTGAGTTAATGATTTTCAAACGCGAAGGACAAGCGTTGTGAGAAATGTTATGGTATAAAAATTATGGTTAATGGCAATGTATTCATCAAATTTAAAGACTTAACTGTAAATAATACAATTTATTATTTATTCAAGCAGGAAATTGTATTCTTGGATAATCAAGTTTCATGGAAAATTCATTCAAGTAAGTTATTCCCCTGTTTTTTTTAATAAAGATTTGCTTTGTTTTTATACCAACAATCATTACAACTTATTAGTCACTTGCATAGACCAATAACCTAACAACACCGGCAACCCAATAACACCAGTATTACCAACACCTCTACCAACATGGAAACATCTTTATTTAGATTTGATTCACATTTAACTGGATTGACAGTTAACAGTGAAATATTTGAAATTGTGAGTCAATCAATGGTTAAACATTCGTTTTCTTCCTCCTTTCAATTCTTGCGTTGAGAAGCAGAAAAAGGCTGAGATTCAGACTTTTCTCGATGCTTCGATTTTTACAGTTTTACATTTTTTCTTCCAATTTTTACTAGACAGTTATTTTTACATTGAAAACCCAATTCTCTGTTATTGGTACCAATTAAACCAATTTCAATGTCTACAAATAACCAGATTTTACTTTCAGTATATTAGTCATTACTTTTTTTTACCGGTAAACAAAGATTTCTAATCTGGTTTTGTAACCAGATTTTAAATGGCTTGATTGTCTTATTGATCTTGAAGCTGAATCATTCTGGTTTTTTGATTATATCCCAATGACTGTACAGCAAACACCATGTTATCTGAATCCCATTGAAAAGATGGTTTCTATTAGTAAACAACTGTCTAGCAATTAACAGTAATCATCTTTCATCTTATACTTTCACTTCTGGTGATGACTAACTTGCAAGTTTACTGTAAAATTGATTACCTTCATTGATTGAAATGCACCAAGCTTGATCTGTTAATCAACCAGATTAAAGTATTTCAACTATTCTTTATATGGGTTTACCTGAATGTTGATTTACACTAATCAAGCCATTGATTACAAGTCAATTTTTATCCTGTTTGCTGCCAAATTGGGGAAAAACTAGTGAAAAATAATCAAGGTAAGTAAATTAATTTGACTCTATTCAATTGTTATTTTGCAATTATTAGAGGTGATACAAGTTTAATTACCACAATAATTACAACATTGTATCAATTGAATTATCAATCCATTTTTAATTGTATAACCTTAATCGACAATCGAAATAGTTGCGATTTAAAGTCGCAAGTTTAGGTTGTCTTGACATGTGTTGTTATTACACATTGTCATCATTTTTTACTGTTAACCATTCATCCACAATTGTGATAATTTATTTACTCTCATATTATTCACCTAATCATCTCAATTGCTTTACCAGACAGAAATGAGAAACAATTGAGAAAGTTGGTGAATTAGTATTAATTCATGATTACTCAGCAAAGGCAATGACCATTAACATTGAAAAAGTCAATGTCAGGTCAATAATTTACCATTAATCAACAAAATTTTTAGCAAACTAATTAAAGTTAGTCTGTTGTATCACTTTTGCTTCCAACTGTAAAGTGATATTGAGCTTGAAAATGAAAACAATGATCATTCACTGTCTCTTAATTATCATTAATCTGTATTAATCTTTGACTAACAGTAAACTATTTTATATTCCCAATTTACCAGATTAGCTGACAGCCATTCTTGGCTAAGCTGATAAAATTGGAGGATTCATAATCAAAGAGTATAACAAGAGAGCCCACTTAATGAAAACCTAAAGTCTTCAGGCTTTACTATTTTCCTGCTTACACAGATGGCTCTGATTTTAAAAAATGTATTGATACAATTAAGAAAATTATCGCCAATAGATAACAGTTATCAAAATCAAACCCGATTGTTTTAATTTTTAATGAAAATTGGTGTTTAATGCCATCTGTGTAAGCAGGAAAAAGTTAGAATCCAGAAACCTGAGGGTCCCATTGAGTGGGCTCTCTTGTTATACTCTTTGTTCATAATCAACTGATTGTATCTTTTAATAACATTTGCATCCAAGTTTGGATGAATGGAACAATTGATTGGCTGTAATTGATCAAATTGTAATGGTGATACTGGCTTTGATTAAGGAATTAACCATATAAATACAAAAAATGCGTAAAGGGAAATATTCAAGTTAACCTGTTAACTTTCAACATGATTATCTGAGCACCATTTAACCTACCAAACTGTTATTACAATTAGATTAGATTTGAATGCGGAAACCTGGATGTTGCATCTGTAAATCAATTTACGGTTAAGTTTCATCAAGTGTAAATGAAAGAGTAGTGAGTTAATTACAGTCTGAGATTGTGATTATTGACGTTATTTACATAATTCAATATGACCTTTACATGGGAACAAATTGATTGAAGAAGTGATAATCGTAAAGGGGAAAAAAGGAGAACAGGAAAAGGATGATAAATCAATAGGATGGTGAAGATGGAGGAGGATGGAAAAGGTGAAGATGAAGGTGCATTTTGTAATTGTAAATGATAAAGATCGTATATTTGATGCAATGAATATCCATATATGTATTGATATCCAGGAAACTCGAGAATCCGGAATGAAAACAGAATCAACAAGCAACAAAAGGCATAAAAGGACTAATGATGATGAAAACTGATTAGATGTTTTTCATTCGACTAACAAGTTGTATGATGATGATATACTTCCGCCGTGATGTAAAATGATTTGGTTAACTGCCTCAAGGTATGATTACGTATGATTGTTTCCAGTTGTTTTTTTTGCCTCACATTTTACTATCTTTGGTCATTCGGATGATAATGATGGTGGAAACAAAACACAACTCAAAAAAACACTGATGCTAACCTTGAAAGAAGATACCAAAAACCAGTAAAACATAAGCACGGAAGATACCAATTGATAAAAGAGAGAAGCAAGTTTGTCACTTATGATGATGTGTTTGACGATAAAAGATGAATTATGTAAGTTGACTTTTTTTTACAGAGTTTACCTGATTACCTGTTCATCTTGTCATTGCCTTATTCATTCATCAAGAATGCATGATGATAAGTTGATGATTATCATTATCCTCATCTCAATGAAGTCTATAAAAATTGTCACTTGATTATCTCATTACATTTGCTATGTGAAGGTAACAATTGTAACCAGTTTTGGCCCAATACAAGGTTATCATGTTATTACCTTTATTGTTATTATCAATTCACGTTGACGCGTGCCAATTGCTCTAGACTTGGATAGTTAAATTATTAATATTTATTACCATTTACATCAACAATCAAATAGACGATTAGTTTTGTTTAACTGTAAATGATCTTTCAACAACTCTTATCATAGCTTTTTTATTGACTCGCCGTGTTAACCAATTTCAATGTTAATTTTGATCGTCCATTTAATTTTTCTCATTTTTCACTTTTCCATTTTAGATTCAACTTAATTGCTGGAATTATCATTTCAAGTTTACTCAAGTATCAACATTTACCTTGATTGTCACTGGCCATCAATTGAAGAGGTTAATTAATCATTTTACGATTGAGCTTTCGGGTTGAAAAATGGTGTTTATTCAAGATGACTTTGGAAACTATTGGAGTCTGAAAATGCTAAGGAATGATCAACTGCAGGAAATAATATTTCACTTGAACATTTCCTGAAGAGAAAAGTGAAAAAGTCATTAAAACAAATCGACAGAAAGACGTCTCTTTTATAACAATAATAATAGCAATCATATTTAACCATTTATATCATCAAGAGGATCCAAAGGAGAAGCAAAATTGAATCAAAGTAAAAGTGATGATCAATGTTGGAGTAACTAACAAAAGTAAAACAAATATCTGGATACTTGATAAATCAATTAATTAATGTTCACAAGAATGGGAATCAATTAACGTATCAAATGTTGAAATGCTCAAGCTAAATCCTAAATTAATTGATTGGTATCTCGGTAAAAATGTAGTGTTGTTAAAAAATTAAGCTAAATGATGTTGAATGGTTGAAACTTTCACCAGATTAAGATACAAGTTACAAGGCAACTTATTTTTTGTTTGCTGCTTCGCCTGCTCATTCAACTGTACCTTGATTTTACCCTCTCTTATCCAGAGTTTATCAATCCCTTATTGGGTTGGGATGAGAAAGATGATGTTGATGAGACAAATGAAAGAGAAAGCTTTTTCTTGTTCATCATCATGATAACTTTTTACCTACAAACCGGTTTACCAATTCTGATCATCATTTTATCTCTTCTCTCTCTTTTTGTTGTTGTTCATCTTTTTCCAACTCTTAAACTCAACAATGTTGACCGGTCGATCGATGATCTTAACCCTGACCGTAAACCTATTAAATAGACAATTTTCAATTTAATCGCTTAACCCAAAATTTGGTTTCCCAAAATCTCAAGGTTCCGATTCCTCCATCAAATCTACTTGCTTTTTTCCCATCTTCATCTCCATCTCCATCTTCCAGATCATCATCATTCCCTTCTCCTGCTTTCTCACCCAATCTCTTTCATTATACTGATTACTCCTTGTATTTTTTCCTTCTCACCGTCCTCATCATTTTTGATTATAACTTCAATATTAACCAGGACCAACAGCATGAAGAAAAACTTGAATCAAGATTTGAATGAGTCACCAGATCCTTTTTTTTATAAGCTGCACATTTTGTTGTCTTTCCAAGTTGTATTATTCAAAAAGGCAAGCTTAAATTGAAAGTTATAAGATTCAATGTTGAGATTAGTTTAAATATTGTCACCAATCATGATTATATCAAGATACAATTTCCAATATCATCCTTGTCCGGATTTGGCTTGGTCTTTTATATTAATTTCCTTTCTCAGGGGAAAAAAGACGATAAAGAAAATGGAATAAATCTTTGCGTGTTTTCACTTTACCACCCACTGAATATGTACACGATACTTATTGAGAGATTGTCAAGCAATCATTACCATCCAATGATAATTATCTTAATAATACAGCAAGGTGTTATATGAGGATGATAAGAGATGAGGATGACATGAGAAAGAAACAAATAGTCTCTACCTTGGCTGGCCTTTTTGACTCTCACTGTCTCTTCGTCTCTTGAAACAAGACATTTAAAAGCATCAAATTAAATGTATATTTGACGAATCAATTGATGAAAATATGAAAAGATGTAAATAGCAGGGTGAGGAAGTCAATAGATAACCAAGGTTAAGGGAAGTAGAGGAGACCAGCCCAGAACCGGAAAGGGATAAACAAAGTGAAAGAGAAACCAATGAATCAAAATGATTATTGCTGATGAGAAGGAGCAGGAGGTGTGTATGTTTGATGAGAAGCCACTTTCTTTTTCTCTTTTTCATCGGTGAATGTCAGTGATGGATGAGGAGCAAAATATCTTGAAATATTCTTTATCTTCTTGTTGAGTCTTTATCTTGAGTCTGAGACGTGTAAAGAGACGGCCAAGAATAAGATGAAAAGATGAGAATGCCATGAACAGTGTTTAAATGAATACATAAAGCTGACTGGAATGATAGAGATGATAATAATGATGATGATAGTGGTGATGGTGATGATGATGGTTATGAGTCTGTTCACCGTCTGGATAAAAGCCATTATAAACCAATTTTGAGTTATAACATCAATTTGTTGACAATTTTCATGGACATTACAAGTCATTGTCATCATCATACTTTGTATTATTACAACATAAAACATCCTTAAAGGCTCTTCAAGTAATATTAAAAAAAAGTCAGCTAGAAAGAAAGAGAAGAAATAAAATAAGAAATCATCATTATTATGATAACCATTAGTCTCTGGAACCAAATCAGTAGTAACAATTTATTCAATAAACAAAATGACTAACCTTTTGCATTAATGGTTCCTTTTTTTAACCAGTTTTAAAGCCCAAGAAGTTTGCAGCCAATGAAGGAAGGAAGAAAGATGAAAAAGATGGAATTAATTCAATGAATTATAATGTAATACATCAATTTAAATATTATTTGTTGGCTCTCCAAAACCTCCTAATCAATCAAAAATATGAATAAACGTTTTGGTTACTACAATAATCGAATTGGATTAGTGTATAACATTCCAGTTGTGTGTGTGTTGATACTTGCCAATATTAGTGTAAAAGTGATGAAGAAACCAGAAAATAGACTTTGAATACAAAGTGTCAAAATTGAAATGATTAAAGTAAAATAAGATTAAAGTTGACAATGATTATAATGCAAAGAAAACAATCAATGTGACAATCAATTTTGATGCTGTTGAGGATGTTTCCTTTCAATAGATGTTTTGGTTTGCTTTAAGGGCGCCACAGTAAAAGTAAGATCGTTTGCTTCAGGCCAAATTGATAATCTTATTTAACATCTTTGGCATAATCATAATCAAAAGGGGATGATTCTTTGGATGAAATTTTCAGATGAGAACCGAAATATAAATAAAAAAATAACCAATTTAACCAGTGATTGCCTGAAGGGAAACTCAAAATATGGCAAACAGCATTTCAATTCTTCATAGAGGGCCATCATTATCCTTTTACAGAATCTTTTGGCCTCATCTTCCTCTTCTTCTTCTTCTTCTTTTTTTACAAATCATCTGGAAAAAAAGGAGAAAATACAAATTCCAAATTATAATAGCAATATTTGTATTACATAAAATGATACTTACCTGGAATAAACAAAAAGAGTCCAACATGTAATTTTGTCTGGTACAGGTTACGTCCTTTTCCTGTTGTTGTCTATTCTGTTGGCTTCATTTGATAGCCAAATTGTCTTTATCTTGCTTATCAAATCACGATCATTATTATTATCATTATTGTTGCTCGTTCGCAATTGTCAACAATTTTCACTGTCAGTTAATACACAACATATGAACATGAATAGAGGCTACATGTATATCCATGAAAGAGAAAAAACTTTACTGGATACTTTTATTCACCACAAAAAAAAACGTAAATACAAGGTTATCATTGATGAATGTCTCATAATCATTATCATCTATTCGTCATCCATTGACACAAGTGAACAATGTAATCATAATAACAATTCAATGTAGTTCATTCATTATTCAAGAACATCATTAACAAACGCAAAAATTGCAGTTCAATAGAAACAAGAAAGAACTGATTTATTCAAATTGACACAACTCATGAGAATAAAAGACTAGAAAAGCTTACATTTTAGAGAACACAAAATTATAAGAATTTTTATTTTAAAATGATTCCAATTCACATAATTCAATTGTTAGAGTTAATCACAAGGGTAAAAAAGACGTTAGTTGTGGCTTGAAAAATTCAAAATGCAACCAGATTGAAACAAAGAAGAAAAATAAAAGGCGCAAATTAAAGATAAGAAAACCTTCTTCGTCATTGTCTTAAACTGTGACCAAAGGTTAAAATTACCAGAAACGCCATATTTGGTTTGATTCTGGTCGAGATAAGGTTTGACTGCTGAGTAATGTTAATGCTTTTTTCAAATGTTACTTTTTTCTAACCGTTAAAATAGCAAGTTACCAGGATTTTTTTTTAATTTGGTTTAATTTACAGTTGATTTTAGTGTTTAAAGTGGTTACTGTTTATTAAAGCTCAATTTATTCTTCATCTCAGGTAAGTAATTTTTTGCTTGTTTTAATGTTCTCAGGCTTTTCTGATTCCCCTTCAACCCTGGTCAATATTAATTTTTGCAAAATCGTTAAACAAGTAATCATTTGAAGTTATTCAGAATTCTGGTCTGATAGGTTTTACTCATTAATTATACAGGACGATAAGATGATGATGAGTGAAAATAAGTGAAAGATGATCAAGGGAATATATAAGATGTTGATGAGGAGGAAGAAAAGTAAGAAGACCATAAACATTCTGATCGTACCTCAAGGCAATTTGTTATAATACTAACCTCACTATCATCACTTTCTCCCATGAGAAATCATTTTGGGTAAAGATTTGTATTAAATGTAAAAAGCAGTTGAACCAAGAAAAATTTGGAATTAAATGAAAGAATGAGAGAAAATCATTGAAAAAAGTACAATGAAATGAAAAGAGAATGAAATCTGTGTAAGAAATAAAGGGTAAAGCCTTTTCCATTCCATGTAATATAGCCTCTTCTGTCCATCATCAACTGATTATTTTATTATTATTATCATTATTATTAGATGTATTATTATTGTTTGGCTACTTCAATTCTTGGACAATCAACTATTATTATTGCTATTCTTATAAAGTTGGCAGATTACACTCTCTCCATCATTAAGATTCTGGTGATGAAATTTTGCCTGGTTTTTTCATTTACTATCGCCTGAATTTGCTAAATATTGACAACCCTTAATGGTACATTTTATTTTATCAACATCTCGAGTCTCGTGTAATTTTCACCATTATTTACCAACTTTCAACAAACATTACATAAAACAATCTCAAAATTTAACCATTTTACCATCTTGTTAGTCACATAGACAGCATAAAAGGCTTAATGGAAGACTTTCCCTATTGTTTTACACATTTTAATGTAAGTTTCTGCTTTCTTTTCATTTTATTTCTGATTATTTCCCAAATCTATCAAATTGATTGCTCCAATTAACTAAATCTTGTATGTGTCTTCAGTAATTGTATCTCTGCCTTGAATGTTTAATCCATTCATTGAGCATTAGCATATCAACTTGAAGCTCATACTGACCCATGTGGTTCATTTGGTTATATTTTATTTGATGAATTTGCTTTTCTAACTGTTTCTTTTTGTCTCTTTTTCAGAATCTTGACTCAACATCCGATTGATACAACAAACTCAACTTTTCCCTGAACTGTTTTCTGCCACCGTTTTCCCTTTGAATCACTTTTGTTTTGGGTTAATTTTGGAAAGCGAAACAAGATCGGATTCCATTGATTGAACTGATGAAATGTGAAAATAATTTGGTAAGTCGATTTGTAAAATATTGAATAATGATCATGAGAAAAAAAGAGAGACGATAAGCAAACCAAATAATTTTTCTTCTTCTTCTTCACTTCAGACGGTAAAGTACATTGGATCGTTGCTCCCTCTTCATCCATCTTTAAATCAGCATGTAAAGCATGAGAGTCATCCTATTGAGTTCTGGTTAACCTTGAAGAGCTGTCAGTGGATGATGAAGATGATGAAAGTGTAGGAGGCAGTAAAGGATGAGGAATGATGAGATTCGAATAAACTTATTCATTCTTCTCTCCCTTCCAGAAACGAGACTTTCTTTGGAAACCATCAAAGATTAACTTTGTTTATAGACAATAATATTCATCCTCTTTTACCAAAAGTTTAAAAATTATCATCATTATTAATGTAGGCGAATAAAGGAAACCTAAAATAAACAAACATCTTCTCATCTTTCATCGTCTTCATCATCATCCTGATCGCACTCACACACACACACACAAATATATATACACATATAATCACTCAAGCCATGTTGATTTACATTGACCATTCACTCAAAATTCAAATTGAACTCAAGTTAACCGCTGAAACCATCAAAATGGATTATAATAATCAATTGTGATTAAATTTGCCTTTTTTCACATCATTCAATTGAAAATAATCATTCTCTTGGTGAACTAGAGAGAAGCAAATTTCATTGTATTATTATTTTGAAGGCGATAATGATCAACTCTTGCATAGTAGCTGTTCACTCTACCCGAAAAGGTCAATTTAATGTGTCAATGAGAATTATTATTTTCCTCCTTCAATTGGCCCGATACCAGGAGATGGAAGAAACTTATTCAGTCTGTTATCAGTTTCCATCTCAATATCATCTTCACCATTATTGACGGGTCTAACTGTTAGTTTACCTTCAGGTTATTGGTGTGAAAAATTTTAGACTTAATTGAACCAATGTTACTACCATTGCTATCACTGTTAACCCTCAGGTTATACACAATGCAGACTCATTGCAGACTGATTGCCCATCTATTTATCCTCACATAATTGACTAAACTTTAAACAGATTATTAAGAATTAATTATTTTCCCTTTTCTTTTCTTTCAGATGGAAAATTGATACTGCTATTGAATCGCATGAAAAAAAGGATAATATCAAGCTCATGCTATTGTCTTCTTTACTGTGAAGATAATTCATTTTATTTCATTTTTTTCAATGCAAAAGTGTTGCTTGACTGGTTGGCTGATTAAACGGCAGACTTTTCATCTTGAATGACGATCCTGGTGATGATGCTGTTATTGTTGTTTGACTAGGATGGCGATCAAGAAAAGATGATCAAAAACGATGATGAGGATGGGAATTCATTGCATTTAAAAATATTGATGTTCATTCCTTTTCTTTCATCCTTTTCATCATCATCTTCAAGTTAACTTTTCATTTGATTGATAACCTTACATTCAATTTTTTGCCTTCTATTTTCATCTCAATGTTGACATGAGGATAGGAAATGAAAACAAAAAAACATGATGATAATTCATTGTGATGACCAGAGAGAAAAGGCAACAATCAAGACTAACACCGAGTCTGATGAAAGTTGAGTGAAAATTGAATTTTTTCTCCACAAGAAAATTATATTTCTCTGAAGGCAAAAATTAATGGTTATCTCAATCAAATGATTACCTTGACATATGTTTTAATATTGCCATTACAAATGGATTTAAAACAACACATCAAATATCAATAAGCTTTGATACATCTGAAAAGCCAATTGTTGAGTGAAACTTGAAAATGATAGGATGATGGGAATGAAAAGAGTAGAGGAAATGATGAACATTTATCTTTCCATTTTTCGCACTCGTTTCATTATTGTTAAATATTCATTACAGATTCATAGACGTTGGAGGTAAAAATTGAATTAACTTCAAGTCACGCAGGTAACATTAATCGTACCTTTGGAATCGCAAATTTACAAGCAACTTTACTGGTGATGACAACTCGATAATACAATTAACCTGTCCATTCATCAAGAGCATAATTGAAACCCAAAGCAACACTTGGAAACAATGAAACAACAAAAAAACAGTGACAATTGTGACACCAAAAAACAACAGCAACAAACGCGTTCAATTGTGTTGGAAACAAAAAGGCGAAAATAAACTGAAAAAAAAAGATTCACAAAAAATGGTTAATTATTAATAGCAATTACAGATTGTATCTTTGATTGTACCACCATTAAGGTCATTTCCGTTCGTCCTTAATCATTACCATCTAACAGCGGAAATAAATTTCAACTCAAATCATTGTGATTTAATAATTTTCATTAAATCATTTTGATTACAAGTTGATGTTAACTTGATGACAAAGTGTTTAGGAAAAGGCAGAGAGAAGCCTTTTTCCAGCAATCGATTTAATCTTATTAATCAATTAGTTGTTGGTTAATTAAGCCTAAACTTGCAGTTTAAACATAATTTTTAACTTTACACTGTTTAGCACAATTCATGTAACCATCAAAGTACATTAATCTCAACAATTTGCAATTGCTTTAATCATTAATTGCCAGGTTGAGGAGAAGCAAAAAAATGAGATAAAATACAAATTTGAAGCCATTAATCAAAAGGAAACTTCATAAACTCAAAGGTGATTCCATCACTCCCAATGAGCCTTGAAATGAAATTTCAAAGTTATGATATCATTGAGATTGTTCATTTGTTTTTGTTCAGTTTTTTGGGCTTTTCTCGTTCCATTGTGTTTATAACCTGGTTTGTGTGTGTTTCTTGTGTACAGACTGAAGAGCATTTTAAGGCAACAATTTATAAATTGTTGACAACCTACACTTGGACTGGGTTGAACAGGCAATTCATATTAATTTGCTGCTTATGAAAACAATTGAATAACTTTTTCTCTTACAATTGAGTTTCTTTTTCTTCTCTTATTCATTCCTTTTCTTGATGAAAAATATGAAAATGATTATGATATAAACATGATGATGTGAATATTGAACAAAAGAAATGTTGCCATTTGAAACATTTAATTTGCTTCAATTGAATCAATTTTAAGAGTTTCATTGAGTTTTATTTTCTTACTTGGATTACAGACTAATTTGTCTAATCATTAAACTAGGTTAAGTGTGTTTATTTAACTATTAATAACTTATTAACATTGCCTGTTCCTTACTGCCGATTCAAATCTTAAATTGCTGCAATTGAAGAGTCAAAAAAGTTCATTTATTGAAAAATTTCAAGCTTTACCATGAATTGCTTTCAACTTGTCAGTAAAAAAAATGGTAAAAACACTTTATTTCAACCTTTTACCCATTTCTTCATCACTTGTAAGTCGAGTTTGAATGTTCAGAACAATATCGATATTTCAATGCCAAGTCAATGAACCTAATTAATTAGATTTCAATGATTTTAATGAGAAACTGATCCAAGATTCAACCAGATTCGGACTTTTCTCAACATCTCAATCAGGTTTTGCATCAGTTTTGTTGAATTATTCATCAATGTTATCATTAAGTTATTGATATTTCTGAAGATGTAACAATTTGATGTGATTGAGGAACAGTTTGATGCGGTGAAAATTGTGATTTTTATCAACAGAAAATTCGATTTTCTACTTTTCGCCAAATTTTCGATAAATGATTGATTTTGGAAATTTAGTTTTCCAATTTTACAATTATAAGCTTGAAAGCAAAGTGCGACTCACTTGATGATTTAAAAGATTTGATTATAAATATGGAATGATAATGATGGAGATTTGAAGATCTAAACAATTGACGGATAGATGATGGGCTAAGCGAACCAAAATTTCATGCAGACGATGAGGTTGGTAAAGAGGGTAGGAAGATGTGAAGAGGAGTGTATTTTCATTCTTAAATGAAGAAGAAGAAGAACTGAAACAAATTCTTGTGATAATGATGTTGAATAGTCACAGACAAATCTGGTTTCAATCATATTCAGATTTTCACATGGAAGCTGATTAATAATGACTGCTCATCATAACATCAACATTGAATGTAAAAAAAACCAGAGAAAACATTTTTTCTTGCAACTCTGAAAAAATGTTTCTTTTTTTCCAAACCAACTTTTCCAAAAGTCAAATGGTCAGTCTATTGAACATCTAATCAGACTAAAACGTTTCAATTTGTTGACCCAAAGAGTTGATATTCAACCAACAATCAATTGATTGAGTGTCTAGCCAATGACAATTAAGATGTTATTGCAAGTAAAAAATTGTCACAACTGTTGACTTAGCATCTCTTTATGATAATAACAAGTGACAACCAGAAAAAAAAGGTAAACAATTTTGGTTCTTTTCTGTCAGTACTAAAGGTTAACTGTCCAATCAATGATCAACTTGATTACAATTAAATGTCTTGCAATTTATGTTTACCAGATTCACTGACATCAATTAAACTGTGTAAAATGTCTTTTCCTGATGAATAGCTTTTCATGGTTAGATGAGATGAAAATATGAAAGGAAATGTTTCTTTTCACTGTTAACCAATTTATTATGATTGGCCCTTATTCAGATTCACTATTACCTGGTTACATGTTGATGTACCATAAACTTAATGGTTTATGAGAGGACAAATAGCGATTAAAATGAAATGCCAACCATTAAAAGTAAATCAATTGGCAGCATTGATGATTTAATGTTTCCTTTTTTTCTCTCGCCATCTTTTTTGCATTGATTAGCTTGTAATACTTGAACAGTTTACAGTTTAATTGTGCTTGGTTATGTTTACATTGATTTCCAGTTGATTATATTATCATCATTATGATGTTGGTTGACAAGCTGATTAAAGTCAATCTCTGCTCTGAAAAAAAACTGTAATGAGAATAGTTTTCATTCATTGATTTTTAAAGCAATCAGTTTGACTAATGAACAACAATTTCCCTTCCATATGGTTATTGCTCTGGTTTGTGCTTCAGTTAAACTGATCCAATCTAATCAAAATATAAACATCCGTTCATCAATGAAGGGATAATGTTGTGTGTGAAGATGAGCATGGTGAACGGATCAGGATGAGGATGAGGAACAGTCAAAATGGATCATTTTAAATGGTAATTCTTGATGCATTTATATTTACAACTTTTGACTTCAATTTTCACTTTTCTTGCTGTTCGTTGTTTTAACCTTAACTGTATCAAAATGATTACAATTTTATCCATTTATTGGCTTTTCCGCTACCAAATGTTTATTACAATAATCAATTCCAATCAATAGTTTATCAAATGTTTACACTCTGGTTAACGGTAACCCATTAAACTGTTGGTTAACAGTGATTTTGTTTAAACTTGCAATATTTTAAACCATTGAGGTTAATGAGCGACCAATTTGCACTGAAAATTGCTTTTGTTTCAACATTTGCGTCAATTTGATAAACTCAATTACATTGTGAGACTTTGGTTAAACAGTTTATTTTTGGTAAAATCAAGTCATTGAAGGGTCAAAGCTGTGAAGGAAATGTTTGGTAACCTTTGAGTTGGTGTTGTCTGTGAACCTAATAGTTGTCTGGTTGCTATTTTGGGTTGAGATGATTGGAAGCTATTAATGATGAGATTGGAACCAAATTCAGCAAGTTTCATACTGAATTAAATGATTAAATTTCAGATCAATTGCAAGTTGTTTAAATGAAATTTATTTCGTTGTGATTCCCATTTGGATCTTTGATTTTTGTCAACCAACAAGTTGAATCAGCTTAACTAAGATTCATTTACTTTGTTCATCTGATTTGATTGTAATAAAAGTTGCGAGCAATTAACTAATGAGCTTATAACGGGCTTTAATCATAAATTTTGTCTAGACTTTGATTTAATCTAAACACCGAGCTTCAATAAACACAAAATATCTTTCTTGTTCAGTTTATATTTATAAATTTTAACATTTTATTGTTGATCAAGTTTGCTAATTTAAGAAACCAAAGTTTAAATGTTACAATTTTAAATGATATTTTGCATGATTGTGACAAAGTTGATCATTTCATGATTGGATTGCGTTGAAATTTTCCAATTTTGATGTTCACTAATTGACAGTTTGATCGTTGATTATAAAAGTCGTTTTGATTAGACAAATGTTTGTATTAGATTTGATGAGCAAACCGAGTTCAGCGTAAAATGAATTTTATTACAAGGCAATGAAGTTTATCTGTTCAAGAGGTTCACTTGGCATCTAACCTGTGAGGCAATCAATGATAACCAATTAATGAATTTAAATAATGAAATGTCATGTAAATGTATCCTATTAGTGTAGTCAATCATGTAGACATGAAAATGTTCAGATTTTGATTGATTACTCAACATGAAACCACTGATTGCTCGATCAAAGTTTACTAATTTTCAATGTTATCCAATTAGGAATTATCTGGTTAGTAAATATTCAATTTCAATCAAACTTGAAACCTTTGATTATAATTAACATGGAAAAGATGATTTCTCTCATTTCAATCATTTTAAAACCGGAAACTTTTTCTCTTGAAACATTCATTAGATAATAATGAAAGTTGAATTTTTTCATCCTTTTGCTTGTTTCATTCTGGGTAATAAGATAATTAAGTCAAGGTAAATGATCAATTGATCAATTAAATTGTTGATGCTTTTAATCACTTCAATCACACTTGGAATGTGTTTGTTTTGATTGTGATTCAGTTTCATTTCCACTTGAGTTTTCTCATGATTAAATGATGAACAATCGTAAAGGTAACAACGTTATTACAAGATAATAAATTCCGAGTTGAAATCTTGCAAATAAGCTTCACTTTTACCTTAATTATCTGAGACTGTAATCATGATGATTCAGATGTTGTTATTTATTGTTAGTTTTATTACTGTTATCCAGGAAATAATGTCAATCAAGTTTCCAAGGTAATAAAATGTAGGTAAGCATGAAATGAGAATTTTGTTTTTTTCTCTTTTCTTTTTAGCAAAAACATATTCTATTGATAATTTCATCCATCAATTGATTCATTCATTCAGTGAAATCATTGGTTTCAATCTCTACTTTGTCTTCATTTTCATGGAAGAAAGAAAAGGGTTGAGTAAAAGTTTTTTTCTTTTTTCTTTCCTTTTCTTTCTATTTCATTCAATGAATCACAGTCTGACTTTCCTTCTTTGTATCTCACTTGTTCATTCAAGACGTTGTGACTCATTCATGTTATCATGTTTAACATGATCATGATGATTCATTACGATAAGGTAAACAGAATTAGTTACGTATTTTCTTCATGCATTTTTCTTCTAAATAACATGATAACTTGCAAAGGAGAAAAATGTTGCTCATATTTATCAACATGATTGGGCCTCTTTATCCTCCAACAGTCTTTTTACCCTCATTTTCATCGTTATTATCATGAAATATACACATCATTTGCTTTATCAATTTTTATCAAGAAAAAGAGAGAAAAGTTCTCAAAGAATCAACCAATTATGTCATGGTAATCAAATCAAATCAACTATACCAAACCATAGCTTATCAAAGGCTCGTCAAATAATCGTCACACAAAAGTAAAATTTTAATTCCGAGAATCATTTACTTTCGATTGACTTCAAGCTTTAATATTTAGTTTCATATTTACCACAATTCACTCTTGATTTATAAAATCTGAAAACTGTAATAACATCAATAATCAGATGATAAAAGTCTAGACCGAGTTGAAATGCCCTTTGAGTAAGTTTGATAAATCTTTGGCTATCAGTCAAAGTCAGTTTCAATATTAATGCAAAAAAACCTGATGAAGCCAGTTAAACTTTGACTCACAATTCAGTCACTTTGTTAGTTCCTAACCCAACAAAACCTACCTCAACATGTCACTGATTTGATGAAAATTTGTCGCTAACAAATGAACTTAAAATTTATCGATTTTTCATCTCATTGATAATGCAAAATAATCGTGTCAAGTCCATAAGACTTTGGATCAACCAAGTTTATTAACGTGTAGCTAGCTTACTGTTATAAACTTTGAGCTATCCAACTTTGATCCTTTCAAGGCAAACATTGGTTCAACCCGGTGCATTAGTTTGAAATTACTTTCAGCCAAAAGTGATCTAGCAATTTAAAGCTTACAATCATCTAATAAACTAATCAAACCAATATTGATAACAATGCTAATTTCAGTTGCTTGGGCGACATTCAAATGTTTACAGACTAACGATTATCTCTAAAAAATCAGACAAAACCAGGCAAATAAAAAGGTTAATCTTTGAAAATATTTTAGGTAAACCATTGCTCTTCATTTTCCCATAATGACCCAGAAAGACAAACATTTTAGCCCAGATTTTACCGTTACAGTGTCACACGAAGTCAAATACCAAAGAGATTCTTAAGCTATCCAATATCATTTAAGGAATGATAAATGCTCCAGGTTACAACCTCAACCAGGATCAAGTTTTACCTTTGTCCTCTCAAAAGAGAATTTCAAAATTTTAAACTTTTCCCATAAAGAGGACTTTTCCCTTTACTTGTTATTTGCATTGAACCAAAGTCAACTCTCTTTATTTGTTGAACAATTTTTGTCCCAAAGTCTCTTTTTAGATACATTTGAGGGTAAAAAATGGATGACAATAAAGTGATAACACACAAAGCAAGATAAATGTTATATACATTCAGTTATTTACATTTTAATTTTTAATATTTTCTCATTTCTTGCTCTGACCATCAATTACATTATAATCATCTATTCACAATTGGCAATGGTAAACGGTAAATTGTCTTAATGGTTTTGCATGAGAAGCTGCAAGTTTAATATGTTCATATTGGATAATTGATGGTTGATCAAGCACAACGCAACTCATTTGTAATTACAGTTTTACTCATTAATTGTTGTTCAATCTTCATGATTCAACTTTAAAGTTTAAATGAGCGAAAAATTTTTGCTTCAAAAAGATGCTTCTATTCATAGTCTCAATGGTTTGTACATTTGGCTGACCTTATGGACAACATAAAGGATCAATCATTGGGTTACCTTAAAAGGTTAATAAATCTTGTTTCAACTAAATAATAGAGAAACCAATAAACTCTTTAAGGTTCAATACAATTTGACAAACTGCAAATGGTTTACCTTTTGTTTTCATTGGAATCACAGTTTAGTCTTTGCAACAGCAACCACAGAGTACAAATTTTTGGTCACTTTGAGGTCAGTAATGGTTCTGCTCGCCCTAAGGGTTCACCAGTTAACTTAAATCTCAACATGCTTACCTTTCAATTGGCAAATTAAATTTATCACTTGGAGTTTAATTTGACCAAGAAAAAAGTCTTTTATTCAAGAGACTCTTATTGACTGTTTTCAATACCATTTGATTAATGTTACCTTTGAATCCAATTTTTGCTTCCAGTCATTAAATTAAGCTTGAAATGTCGAGAATTTTTGGATTTTTTTTGCAAAATTAAACATTTTCTTTGTTTTTCCTCGACTTTTTACTTCACTGAAAATGTTTCTTTTGCTTTTGTGGTTTCAAAAGTATAACAATTGAAATAATCCAAGTCATAAATAACAACATTTGTTGGGACATGAATGTGTGTTTTTTGGGTTATTTTTCGGGTTGCATCTTGAATTGAAAATTTTGTTGCTGCTTTTGAAATGTTATCATGAAAAGTTCGTGAAAAGAATCTCTTATTGATTTGATCTTTTTTCTTGGTTTTTTCCTAGGAAAAGAGTAACAGAAAAGGAGAAATGAAAAGATTGTGTTCATTCAATTCTGTTCAAATAGTAACTTGCGGTTAATCATTGGAACCGATCCTCACCAATTTATATCATTTCTGTTGTTATTATCTTTTTTTCGGTTCTGTTACGTTCACTCCAAGGGTTATCTGTTATCAGTTCGTTACAGGGATTGGATTGGGAGAGACAGAGGGAAAGACTCGAATGAAATGATGAAAAATCACAAGGCATCACAAATTCATTTGAAATTCATGGGAACAAAAGCCTCTTCATGAGTCCCTATGGAGAAACAAAATGGTATTGAATGTTATCTTACTTTTTACGCTCTCATCGTTTTACTTTTTTTTCATTTTCTTGGTCTTCTTTTCTTTTCTTTCCTGATTGTCAAGGCTTATGAAATAACACAATTGTGTTACACAGTAAATTTGCAACTAAAAGCCAAAGTAAACCCAAACGACTGTTTGGTAAGTTGAACTCAAGCTAAACTTGACAGCAACTGAATCATTGGTTATAAAAGCGATTGGTTTCAATATATCAATGCATCAAGTCATTTCAATAAGTCTTATAATCTATTGTAATAGCGTGGTCAAAACAGTGAATGATCAAAATGACGGAGACAAGCTTTAGTCAGCCGTTGACTGTTGCAAAACTGATCTCCATTGAAAATCCTTATAATCCTAGATATAAAATGACCAAGTTACATCGATGCTCTCAATGGCAATCGATTTTTAGCAATTCAGATTCTAGAGATCGATTCAATATTCGATTAGTTATTTATTCGAATGGATTAAAAGCACAAACTTCGCAAATTTTCCAATCCATCCAATCGTTGCAATTCCGTTCTAATCTTCCATCATCGTCATCATCAGTCGTGACCAGAAAATTTTCATCAAGCCATTGAAAAATCGTATTCGATTTGTGAGAATCGCACTTGGTTGATCGATTTTAAAGGAAGAATCGATTCCATATGCAAAGGTTCATAATTACTTTAAAGGAGTCGTTGAAAAGAGGTTACTAACCACTATGCTACCAGAGAAGGGTCAAAGAAGATATTAATTGGTATCTTTAGGTAACTTTTACAGCCATTTCAGATGCCTTAATGTTTCATTTATTATTGAATGTTACTCTTTTGAGATTAAGAAAATTACGAATCATTTTTTGCTCATAAAAGTGAAGAGTTGAGGTAAAAAAGATGCTACTTAAATTACTCATTTAAAGCAATGCGATTATAACCATTAAATTAGCAGTAAAGGATAATGATGATGATTAATTTTGCGAAAAGTCATGTTGTAATTGAGGTGAAAAGCAAATAGTTTTGATTGAATCACGTTAAAAATAATACTAAAAGGTAATATAATTGCAAAAGTGAAATCATTTTTGTAATATTATCTAAGCAAACAATTAATCAATGATGAAATGAAAGGCAGGGAATCTAGTAATGAAGGTGTTTTTCACTATTAATTTTCATTCATCATCTTATTTGGAAATCTGTTTTTACCCTTTTCTCAGATTGTTCATTCATTCATGCAACATGAAATGACTCATTATCTCACTGAATCAAATTTCATTCAAGAATAGCCTTGAGCATTACTCAACCATCAATCAGCTTTAAAGAGAAGTTAAATTATTGGAAAGTGACAAAAACAATTAAACTCTTGTTTACCTTTTGAAAAGTTAATTAAAATGTGTAAATTGTCATCAACCAAACAACTGATTAGCAATTTAAATTAAACAATTCAACATTTCCTATTGGAATCAAAATCATTACAAAAAAATGATTGTAACCCAGTTATGATCATGCAATGAACAGTAAATTTGGTTGAAACAATTAAACACTTGAATTCATGTTTTTTTTGTTTCCAATTTAATTGTGTTCACAAGTAAACATTAAAAGTCATTCACATTGGGACAAAATTAGACGATTGAGTAAATAAATTTACATCTTTTTTTCAAATAAAGTTGATCGCCTGTAATAACCCAATTATTATTGCTGTAAAGTTGATTTACAATTGAATTTCATAGGCAAGTGTTGCTGTAACAAAGCTTGCGAGTAAACAATTTAATAATGAAAGGTAAAAAAAGTATCAACAATTAAAAGCTGAAAGAGTTGAGGCATCATTAGCAGCATTTTACAGCTTAATGAAACTGTATTGTTTACCTTTGCTACAATGCCTTTTACAGTGAAAAATATAAAAGCCTTTGGAAAGGTGAACATTGAACAAAAAAAGTTGTTTCCTTATTTGTTTACCTTTTTCCTTTACCTCATCAATTGATTGTTTAATCGACTGTCCAAACAGTAGATTGTTATTGAACAAATTGTATAACAAATGGCAATGTTAATAAAAGGCTCAGGTTGTCTGTAAATTAAAAATATTGATATTGCGTGTTAATGTATCACATTAAGGTAGACAAAAAAACGACTGTTGATTTTGAGTCAGTTTAACAGGTAAATGACAGGATAATGAAAAGGTTATCTTTTGAATAAAAGGAAGAGAAGATTTATCGTACAAAAAAAGAAGTGAAAAAAGTGCAAATATTAATGAAAATGATTACATTTGGACAGGATAAACCTGATTGCATTGTCTAGTCTTAAATGTGTTACCTGTCTGTGAGCTTTAAATCACTTAGAATACAATTCTAGAACTGGACAAAAGAAGCCAAAAAAACAAGGCAAAGACTGAAGATGAAGATAAAAGTATTAAAAAAAAGGTAAAATGATGATGTGGAAGTTGCGTCAAGATGATGATGATGATGAAAAAAGTGGAAATGGTTAAGGTAAAATCTATGAGAAGAAAAGGTAAAAACCTGTTTGACAACATTCCGGTGTTACTTGTTGAGATGAAAAGTCTCTCTCTTTTTGCATCATCATCATCATCATCCTATGAAACTCATTTTTGATTCAACTCAATTGACCTTAACTTTGAAAGTAACTTCACTCTTTGCACGCGCCTCAACAACCTTTCCTTATTGGGCTTAACGTTGAGACTTTTGTTGTTGGTTTCTTGACGGATTATTGGGTTTGTTATCATCATCATCATGATAGAGGGAAGATTTTCTCGTTTCTTGGCGAAATGTGAATTATAATGAAAACGTCAATTGAAGATAAACAGACTGATGATAATGGTGATAAGAAATGAGTCAGAATCAGGAAAGAGCGTGATGATTCCATCATCTTTATCTTCATCTTGTCTAAACAAGGGAAAGGGATGAAAATGAAAGTGGAAAGAGGAAAGAGGATGATGGACAAGACTGCCAACGGAAGCTGAAGATTGTGAAGGAGGCAGGAATTTTGATGAACATGCGAATCAAGTCTCATACTCTTTGGGATATTAATGCATCAGCAGGAAGAAGAGATGAACATTTGGATGAAAAGACTGGATGAGTCATGAGATCGATTTGACAATCGATTGTATTACATTGAATGTTGCTGTTGTAAATGGTTCCTTAAAATGTCATTAACTGTTGCCATACTTGAAATTTAATTAAACTTGCAAATGGTTTGATGATGATAATTATCCTGCTTTGTGTCGTTTCCCACTGTTGGTCTTCCTCTCCGATTGTACAGTCGAACCTAATTTTATATTAAAAAATTGAATGTCAATGAAAAAAGGTTGCCAACAATTTGAAAGCTTTAATTAACCTGAATAATAATGTTGAGGTAATAATGTAAAGGGTAAAAAAGGTCCGTTTTTATGGTCTTTTTTTTCTGACTCTTGTGTTTTTTTAGCTGCTATAATGAAATGTAATCATTAGTACAATGATAATATTACAGTTAACCGGATATTAAATTTACCTTTGATTATCATTAATATTACAGTGTGTTTTTTTTGCTGCCTTTCATTATGATTCATTGTCTGGTTTAATGTAATTTTGCCTGGCTCTGTGTGATAATCATAACCAGTGTAAATTAGGAACCTCAAATTACAATTTACTTGAATGTGTTTTTTGGTATGTTTTTCAATACAAAACAACAACAACATAAGTAATAAAAATTGTAATCATTAGGTTGATGGTGATGATAAGCAATCATGATTCTCTGTGTGGTTCAAAGGCATAATTTAGGAAAAGTTACCTCGTCAATTTAACTAACAAGTTTAAATTACAGTTACTTCGGTCTAATGGACATAAAGATGAGAGAAGAGGATAAAAGGTTCAGTTATGATGATAATGACGAGTCTTTTTACTGGAACAAAGAAGAGCATCTTTTATTACTCTTGACCCCTCAATACCAATTGGGAGTTTTATTCACTTTCTCCTCTCTTTTTTTCCTTTGGTTTCTCTTCCTTGCTGCTTTAGCCATCTTCTTGATCATCATTTTTGGCTTTCCTTTAAACTTCATCTTTCTCTCATCAGTATTCAATGAGTCATCCTTGTGTCAGGATGATAAACTGTAAAATGGTGTGTTAATATATTCACAGTGAAATTGTTGCCTTTTCTTGGTTAACATCAATGAAAGCTTTTTTTACAATGAATAAATGTTTTTCCTTCAAAAGGCCAATATCCAAAGCATATTGATTGCAATATTTAAATAACTTGAAATGGCAATAATTTTAAACACTCTTATCATTGTAATGTGCCTTAATCTTGATCAATGTTTGACAAGTTTCATGTGAAAATTGCGACAATCAATTATCGACATTTCACATGTACGGCTGTTAATTATCTAATCAACTCAACTGCCAATTTGATGGAACTTGTTTCCTTTGATTTCTTTATTCCTGGCTTTTCCATTTTCCTTCGGTATTTTGGTCTCTTTATCAGATTAAATTGAATATTCATGAACATTTCCAAACAAAACACTTCTTTGAATATATTATTTAGGTTGACATTGTTGGTCCTTTATCATTTCTGGTTTCATCCGTCAAGTGAATCTGAAAGAGAGAGAGGAAAAGTCAGTTATTAAAAATATCGCTTAATTTTTGTTACTTTGTCTAAATCACTTGTAGGATGCTCATCATGATTTGATTATTAGACAATCCTATTATTGAAATGATTATTCATAATGAAGCTATTAATCGGGAAAATAATAATTGTTTAAATCAATCATTTCTCACAGTATGCAATAAGGTTAATTAAAAACACTGGAATCATTTTTGATATGTGAAAGTAAATCATGTTAACATGGTTATTAAAATTGATGATTGACATGATTGATAAGCTTTCCTTTTGTTTCTTAATTTACTTTAATCAACTTGATCAGTAAATTAAACCAATTTGACTTTTCTCTTTTAGGCTTTAAGATTGTCATTGGCGATTAAAGTTAATGATAATTGTTAAGGAAATGATTATTATTGTTAGTAATTGACTAAATAAATCAATTAATTGTTTCCCATGATTCAGGAGTGTTTACTTGTTTGTTTCATGAAGAGTGTTCAGGATGAACAGAAAAAAAACATTGGAAACGTTATTATCAAGCTAAGGATTGTTAGTAATGTTAATAGTTATGGTTGAAGCTGATGAAAATTGATTAAAAATTATATTACTGATTAAGGACTATTAAGGCTTTTAATAGGTTAGTTGGTAATGTTTTGTTTTGTACTTGTATTAGGTTTGTGCAATTGTTTGCTGAATTAAACTGAAATATTAATTGAGATCTGAAACGGAATCAAATTCCTTTGAAGATTGTGATAAAAGTTGTTTTTATCAACTGGAAACCTTTCCTTTTTTAACACTTGTCTCAATGATATTGGCTGATCAATTCACTTTCTAGGTTAAATTGTTTACCTAATAAATATTACTTGACTTGTTCAATTTAACTCAATTTAGAGTTAATATTTGTATTTTTTTACCATTTATCTTTTCCGTTTACCTTTACCGGTCAATAATCGTATGTATTGCCTTTGCAAACACTCGATATTCATGGGATGAGTGAGGCTTTATCGTTAAGAAGTTTTCCATGTTGGCATGAAGCAAGAACAGGCTTTAAATGAACCAGAAACTTGTTGGTATTAACGGGATTTCCAGTAAATTAAAAAAGGAGAAATGATTGGTATCAATGTACATGGTTGACTTGATTTTGTTTTCATCCTGATTCACTTGATTATCATTTGACAAAATTCAATCAATTGGAAAAGCTTACAATCTAGAGAAAAGGGAAAGAAAAAGAGAAAGGAATGAGTAAAATAATTAATAAAAATAGAGATCATTAGAAAGCAGTTGATTATTTCGTAGGCCAAATTTAACTTGGCTTTATCAAACACTAATCAAAGGTACTTCATACTCTAAAGATTTACCTTTATCAAGTCAATTAACTTGAAAGAGTCATTGGCGTCTTCTTCAAAGGTTTTAATTGAACAGTCGATGGTATGACAGCTACAGCTCTTTGATATAATTGATCCGGAGCAATCAACATTGAAGATGAAAATAATGGTAGGCCTGATGAGATGGTGGTCATTATGAAAGCCATGATGGTGGTTAAAGCCTGAACCTAGTTGGTTTATACCTAGAATAAACAAATTTAATCAGATTAATAAGATAATGGTCAATTGTTGGGATAGTATTACTTTGCTTAAACATCATTGTTTACAGGCTCTCAATAAACAATCAAGGTTGATTGATTTTTGCGGTTCTCTTTTTACCGTTTTGTTTCTTATTCACACCAGCCATCTAAATCTTAGATAGTTATCTTGATGAACGCGCATTTCAAGTAGACATGACATTTCTCAGGAAATCTTTGTGTTGACAAATAATGATATTGCTTAGAGATGAATAAGTAGGTTTAATGATTATCTAAGATATAACATAATCAAAACCAAATACTTGCCAGTACTTGATGGGGAGATTGACGGTTAGTCATTTGCCATTGCATTGCTTGCTCCAACGTAATTCCAGTTATTTAACAGCAGATTAGGTAACTATGATCCGTGTATTATCGCTCATCCTGAGTTGGAGTAAAAGTTTCCTGTTAATTTTAATACATCACTCGAATTGTTAAACACTTGAAAGTTTGTTTAATAAAACTGTTGATTTGATTAATTTTCATACTGTGCACGTATTGCCATCTAGAGTTGCAGTAACAAACTGAAGACTTTTTGTGGTTGCTTTAAATAATTTGTTCAATTGTAACTTGGACGAAATTAATTAAAATTATTAGAACTCACTATAATTCCCGTTGATTGCTGTTAAATCTAGCTTATTTTAACTGAAAGTCTTTAGCAATTTAACTTTTAATCAAAGCCAAAACGTTATTGTTCAAGTCTGGTACCAAACAATGATATAGATAGATATCATATCAATTGTATCAGATACATTTTACTATTTTTAGTTTTGTTTACAATTATTTTCTGTGGTGATTTTGAAATAAACTAGTTCTGTTTACTAATTAATTGTGACTCCTCATTAAAATCTTGGTCTATCCCGTTGTATGATAATGGATCTAGATTGATTACTGTGCGAGTTTGTTATGCTTTTACATTTGTCAGTCCATTTGCTGTTGTCTATTGCTTCTAGCGTTGATTTTAAATTGGTTAATATTTCGGAAAGTCAATAGTCTTTTTTTAATTGCTAATCAGTTCGATATCTATTGCAATTTCACGACATGTCTACCATTGAAGAGAAAACCGAGAAATTATCCAAGGCGACTCAAGAATACCTGAGAAGTGAGATGAAAGCCACAATCGACGATTACAAATTGCTGGAAGAGATGAATAAGGTTACTTTAGAGGTTGGTTTAATCTGATTTGTTTCTCTAATTAGTGGTATCAATTTTTTCATATCATCCCTTGATCTTTTGAGCTCAGACATATTAAATTGAAATCTTTTTTTATTCCAATCCAGAAATATAAAACCATGGCAGATAAATGCAAATCAATCAATGAATCGCAAAAGGGTTTGAAAGAAAAGTATGATACTTTGGGCGTTTTTTTCGGACAAATTGATAAACTGGAGAAGAAAATAAATAGTCTGGAAGAAATGGCTTATGCAATTGATGGATATACGAAAAAGCTGGAATCTCAATTCAAGAAGCTTGAATCATAATCTTCAATTACAGTCAACCCTCTCAAAATGAGACTTCGTAGGCATAGCTTCAGAATCTACAGCTGTATATTCAAAATATGAACTTCGAAAATAGATATGGACTTTGAAAAATGGTCTTAAAATGATTTGATTAAGAGTTTTTGTTAAACTAATTCATATTGATCACAGTTCATGAAGATCTTTTGTCCTCATGATCTTTCACTAAATATGTAAACAATTCATTCATTTTTGGTTTATCCATATTTCCAATTAGCGTTGATGCGTCTATGTTGCTTGTAAACGTCTCGATTTAAGAGTTCAATTTTTTAAGGTTTGACTGTAATAGTTTCACTTATGATCTGAATCTGATTCTACTTTGTTGACATTTTAAAATCGTATTTTTGTATCTTTGTTTTTTACCATTGAAGGTCCAATTGAATTTTACTAGATTTAACTATCCTTGAAATTATGCACCTAATAAAAATTTAAAGGATACATTTCTTATTTAAATTAATATAATTCGATAACATTGTTTATTGGGTGTATTGGGCCTCGGAGAAATCAGAATAAATCGATCAAACAATTGTTTAATTATACTACAATTTAATATAGCAGTGTTTTTTGACATAAACTTTCGATTCAATTGTTTAATACATTTTAAGAGGACCTCTTCTCTCCTTTTTTAAATCCATGTGTACAATTAGTGAAATTCCATGACATCCCTCTAAATATCAACTAAAAATTATGATTCACAGAAAACAAGACCCTTCTTGTCAGCTGGTGTTCGCCAGTCGGGTGGATTGGCTCGCATTTCTTTAACTTTACTACGATATAGAGTGAAATCTTCCTCCATTGAGACGTACCAACTCCACATGCCCAAGGCGCCGACGACGATATATGCAACATACACTTTGTAGAGATCGGTTTTACCATACGGGAAGTCAGGATTCATATTCATATCTTGAGTCCACCACAATTGCTTCTTTTTAGCCATAATCCATTCTTTATCTTGATAAACCATATTATATGGATCTCTTTCAGAGTAGGTTTTGACCAGATTATCAGGAACATCTTGCCATCTTTTCCATTTCCTTATAGGGTTAGGAGCTGGATCTTCAGAGTAGTTTCGTCGAGAGTTATTTAACTATCAAGTGTCCAGTTTAGTGAGAGAAAAAATTGCACGATATAACATTCAGAAGTAATCAAAAGTCCGATAAATAATATATACATCAGAGTGATATGAAAGCAACGAGAAAAAAGGAAGAAAAATAGCGATTAGAAATGAGGCTTGTATAGAAGTAAATATCTGAAAATGTGTATTAAATTGAGCCTTACCTGATAGAGACCAGTTTGATAAAACTTACCACGAGCTGAATTGTTAATAACTCTAACCAAAGCCATGATAATTAATAATTTAAATTGATTAGTCCAACTAAAAATATTTGACCTTCCAATTCAAAGTAAAAACAGTAACCTTATGTTGAGTAAAAAGCAGCATCTAGTGTTAGCTTTATGAAGCAAATTGAAGCGCACTTTATAATGAAAATTGTAAATTCCAATCAAACAAATAATTGGTTAATTAATGATAGAAAAAATTAAATCAATCTTAATTTAAAATAAAAACACTTAAAGAAAATGAAAACATTGAACTAAAAAATTAGATTATTATGAGAAGTTGACAAAAATTATGAATAACTTGGGTAACTCTACCATTCGCCATAAAAAAAGATTTAAATGAAATCGAAAAGGTTTATTTAAATATAACAAAAGAGGTTAATTTTTTCATAGAACAAGATATTTACTTTATTAATCAAGTAAAAAAGTAATCAACACGATTGCATTTATCCAGGATCAATGATACAATAAAAAAAATCCAAGATTGTCAATATAGTTTTGTCCTTTTCTGTTCAGCGTCAACTGAACCCAAGCGATTTTCGCGAATCAAATGTTACTAAAGAAGTAAATAAACTCTGGAAATCTGTAGAAATTATTCCAAGAAATTGCCTTGAAAAATAATTATTTGTTTCGTTTAAAAGTTCTTTGCTTTTCGGCATGTTCAACAATCTTTTCATCGACAGGAAGGCCTTTCCGTTTACGAACAGAATTCATGTAAATCCTGGCTCGATTCTCAGTGTCTGCCTTTTCTCCATACAATTCATATTCTTCTTCAGTGGTTGGAACCCAAAATGGATCAATATCAATAACCTGAAGAGGAGAAGAAGAAGAAAAAAAACACAAAATTAGCGAATCTTGAGTGTTGAAGGAAAAAATCATTGAGATTAAATGAGTTGGCGAGATAAAATGGGACAGAAAAGGTCAAAATAAAGTAATTAAAAGATGATTAAGACTGTAAATGATATCAATCTAACCTCCCAATGACTGAAAACAAGCTGAGGTAAGGCCATTCCACTTGTCTGTTTGCGTATTTCATTAGCAAATTGGAAGCTCTCAATAACCGGTAAAATGGCGGTTACAGTGAAACTTGATGAACCTTGTTGCATATCACCATGAATGGTTCGTCCATGACGACGACGGATAACAGCATACATTTTACCTGAAATAAGAAGAGAATCAAAAATTAATTCAACAATTAAATCAACAATGGCAAGGGAAACAAGACTCTAAAAACAGTAAAGATGTTTAATGTTGAATCAAATGGTAAAACGATGCACCAATGGTTCATTTTTCTTGATAAAATTAATGTTGATTCAAAAAATTGAAATCAACCATTAAGCTGATTCTCAATCAATTTCAATTAACTTTCCAATAAACATTGTAACTTAATAATTAATGTATCAAATTGTTGCAGGCAAAAGCCAATGTTACTTGTGGATGAAAAAAAAGTGCGTTTAATGGTTTCTTGAAAAATTGCTCAAAGTACAAAATGAATTAACATTAAACGCAATTCCAACGGATATGCTAATTATCCGTTTAAATACAAGAATTCATTTTGCTAATTGTTTCACTTGTTTGGGTTCATTTTGTAAATTAAAATTTACAACAAAAAATACGTTTGCTGTAAAAATTGCCAAGGAAAGGGAAAAGAGCGTAAAATGAAAGGTAAAAAAATAAGCAGAGAAGAGAGAAGAAGATGAAGAGATGAAGAGATTTCTTAATGTCTTCAAATGATCATTTTTGAAGTAAAACCTTCAGGCCAAGTCAAGTCCGAAGGTGAAATAGAAAGAGAAGACAGGATGACAAGAAAGGAAGAACCATCTTCTTCATCTTCATCGTCTTCATCATCTTCTTTCATCTTTTTTTTCTTCGTTTTTTCCTTCGTCTTCTCTCTTCTTCTGTACCTCATCTTGGCACCTTCTTTCTTCCTCTTCTCTCTCTTTTCTCTGATTTTTCTTCTTCTCTCCCTTTCTCTCTCATCTTCTCTCTCTCTTACTGTCTGTCTGTCTCTTCATCTTCATCTTACTTACTAACTTACTTTCCTTGCGTTACTTTAGCGATGTGATTTTTACCTTCAAAGTGTTTCCATGTTTATACTTTCATGAGCATGTCTTCATTGATTCATTGTATTACCAATATCATTGACTATTTATTATCATTGACAGTTGACAAAACCTTTTTACCCAATTTGTGATCAACAGTTACAAAAGGTAACAACATTAATTGTTATGACTCTTTAAAATGACATTAAATTCATTAATTGAAATCAACCAAATGTTCATTAGTCATTCACCGGATAAAATCAACAACGGTAAACAACACCAAACATACAATCAACCTTCAAATTTCACGTGATTAATAACTTAACCATAATCATTATTAAAGAATCATCAAATTTCCTAACCAACACCAACATCATAATCACAAAATCATCAAAACCCATTAAAACTTGTTTACTCAACCAGTGCCTTTAAACATCATCTTCAATTGTTATTTTGTTTTATTTTTTGTTCAAAAAAAAAAAGTAAAAGTTTATTATTATTTTTTATTGATATTATTTATTATTGATTACCAATTAATATATTAAATAGTTACAATTGTAAAGTAATTCAACACCAACAATTCAAGGAAAAACATTCAACTGTTGATCAAGTTGACCGTTAACAAAAACCAAGAGAATAAGCTAAATCAATCCTTTAATTGCGATGTTAATCATCAATGGATCCAGCTACGGTGGCCATTGGAAACCGTTAACATCATTATTATCATTATTTTCATTAATATCAATCATATCAACAAATTCATTGTTTTATCGTTTCATTAAGGAGAAACATTATATCATCACAGTAAGTATCATGTTTACAGAATGACAGAATCAAAACGTTTTTACCCGGGAAAAAGCGACCTCAACATCCATATAAGGGACAAGAGTTATGATCAAGTTAATTGCCGCAAGTTATTTCATCCCACGTTCCTACATCTAAACACATCTATCGATTATTCATAATTAACTATTAAAGATGATTTAGTTAAATAGTAGCTGAAACCACGCATCAACTAAATCAAGTTTGCAACAACAATTGGCAAACATTGATATTAAATCAGAGTCAATTAGTTGAAATATCATCATGAATAGAAATAGTAATTTGATTAGATTTTCAATTTTTCATTCAACTTTTCCTATCATTAAATGTGTTTATTTTGCTAATGAAATTACCTTGAATAAACATCTTGAGGCAATAGATTCTTGAGTTTCATTTGAAACATTAATGATTGAAAAGCTTGATGGTTGAGTAGTAGGCGAATGGTCAAGTGTCCAATGATTAATCTTTACTTTTCATTTTCAGAAACAATATGATTCAATATTGAAAAAATGTGACTCTTGGCAAGTTTGCAATAAAGTGGATACTTATTCAACTCCTTGGATTGAAAAACAATGCCGTTGTCCAAACAGTAAACCTTGTTCATCTTCCCTCAACCCAAATGATGGACGAACGATAGTTGATAAAACAAAACAATACAAGGTAAGAAATTAATTTCAATCATTAAAGGTAAATCATCGATAAATCATTTTCCTATTTCTTCGAGAAATCACTTCTTTACCATCAATCTTTGATAAATGCAACAAAATGATTTATAACATTGATTATGATTAATTTGAGTTAGATATTGGAAAAGCTTTGTTAACATTAGCAAAAAACGATAAATAATGAATAATAATTGAATAGTCTTTTGATAATTTTGACAGTAAAAAGTGGCAAAAGGTAATATCGATTATAAAAGTGCAAGGTTTTCACCATTTTTACCTTTTCCATTCACCTTTTTAAAGATGACATTTAATGATGAATAAAGTTGAATATTTAAGGAAAAAAGAAGAAGAAGAAAAAATTGTCTTTGGTCCATTTTTTGTATTGTGCTCATTTTGTTATGATAATAAAGTTGAACATAATAAAATGAGATAAGCATATAATAATAATGACGATCATAATAATGGTAATAATCGTAATAGTAAATGTGAGGGAAAAAATGAATGCTGTTGAATTATTAATATGAATCGTTTTGCACGAAGATTGGGAATGAACACGAAAAGATGTAAAGCGAAAGCGAAAAGTTGATTGAAAGTTATTTACATTCAATTAGATTGGTCAGTTCCGTTGGGCGAAGATGAAGATGATCTGATGATAATGATGCGAGAGAGAGTAAAATAAGATGACAGAGACTTGGATAGAGACAACAGAGTTTAGAGTAAAGAAGAAGAGGGAAAGATTAACATTTTCCCAGGAACAGTAAAATTCAATGATCCATGACAGTTAATACAAAGTTGTATTGCCAAAAAAGTATGGCCCAAAAGAAAGGTGAGAAAGAGGCGACAGAAAGAGTAGAGAGGAGTGGACTCTTTTGGTCCAAAGACTAACAACGATAGCGGAGTCTTACCTGGCTTTAACCTTGGCTAAATGTCTTAAGATAGATGCATAACCTGAGCGTTTTGTCGAAACGATCCTAAACTCGAGAACCATCTGTCTGTCTTAAAATGTCTTAAAAATGATACAAAGAAGATGAAACAGAAAAGAAGAGAAAAGAAGAGAAAAAAATGAAAAGATGAAGAAGAAGAAAAAGCCTTTGAAAGAGGAAATAAACACTTCGATGTCACCCTTCACCTTAGGCTCTAAATTTCATTCAAACCCTTTAACAATTAGAAACAAAATCAACGCAAAATTAACCAAAATCAAAGTCTCATTGCAATTGAATCTTAAACATTGAAAGCACAAAACAATATTGATTCAGACACAAGACACTTTCCCATTTTGCTGTTGAATGTTGATATTGATGACAATCACCAGTTGTGATCAAATTGACTTTGAAATCTGTTGTTTAAAAGCAATGTTTATTGATTTTGATGATTCTGAAGATTTGTTTTGAATGTTCTGAATGTTATTATGAATTATGTTCATTATTTTCATCATTGTTAGGACTCTATTGTTGCTTCTTGTGTAATAATTTTGCTCCATTCTAGTTTCTAGGTAAATCTTTACCTTGGTTTTACAGTTTTTTTTATATCAGTTGTACTTGAATATACTGAATGTTGAAAACTGTAACTCGTCTATCAATCCATCAAAAGTAGGGAAAGAAAAAAATTTAAGCACAAAAGGCTTTTTTTTACCTCAACACATGTCGTTATTGTGAGTTGAACTTGTTCGTCTCAATGCTTTTTTCTTGTCCTTTTCCTATTTCTTTACCTTTTTTTTACCATCTTTCACAAGATTATCTATTCTCATATACAATATATATTATTGTACACTTTATTGAACTTATGTTGATTTACAACGTGGACAAAACACACAAAGATGCATCAACAGTGTTCTGTTATTTTTCATTTAAACTTGTTGAATTCAACAAATACCTGATGAATCATGAGAAGAAGCAATTTGAACAGTAAAAGTTTACAATCGTTAACAGACTCCAAGACTGACCCGATAAATTGTTAACTACATTGGATCATGGCGATTGACCAAAAGCAGCTAATAAACAGTCGCCATTCTAGTCAATAGAGCAATTAGCGAGTAAAGAATGTCAATTTTTGCAGCAAAAAAAAAACAAATAAAATGGTGAAAAATATTTTCTCTTGTCATGATTTGAATAGGAAACATTGGAAAGCAGAAAGATAGTGAAAATTGGAAGCAAGAGAGACTCAGAGATGATGATTGTGGTGAAGATGAAAATGCATCTTGTTCAGGTTATACTTACCTTGAAACATTATATCCATTATCACGACCAATGGTAAGAAAATTTTTGTGGTAAGAAGATTAAGTACAAGTGAAGCGTGTCTCTTCAATCATCATTTTCATCTTCACCTTAATCTTGATCGTCATTATCTTTTTACCTCATCTTCCTCTCTTCCACAGGAAGTGAGTAAATGATGGAGAAAGAGAGACAGAGACAGACAGAGAGAAAAAAAAACAGACAGAAGTGAGTAAATGAATCAAGTGAATGGAGACTAGGGTTATAAAAGGTTTGGTTTGTTACCATAGATAAGGATAAGTCTAGAGTCGAGGAAAAATTTGAAAAATTTTTTACTTTGGGTTAATATCATTTTTATTGAAACCAATTATCTTAATGATGATAATAACAATAATGATAATGATAAAAGTACTGAGTGAATGGTGAAAAGATGAGGATGGAGAAAATGGAATCATCCAAGAATGCCTTTTACTAGAAGATCATCTTCATCATGACCACAGGCCAAAACAAAATTCATCTCCGCACCTAAAACATTATCAATGTGATTCCCTTTTTTTTGAGCAAATTTTACACGAAAAAAAAGCTAAACCGTTTTGTTTTCGCCCTTTTTTTGAGGCTATTTTTTTTTTGCTCCTCTTCTTGGCATTTATCATTTTTAGCGTTTCTTTAAATTGGATAATTTGGCCAAAAGTTGAAATTATGAAATTGGTTACAAATGTTTGTCAATAATAACATTAATTTTGGAAAACCTTTTTTTACTCATTTTGTCATAGATTTGTGAATCGGCCAATAAATTACCAGTTTGTCGACATTTTCGTGATGTTACATGGACATTGACCAGTTTTCCTGATAACCGAACCCAACAAATAATGGAATGTGTCTGTCCTAAAAATAGCATAGCATATATATTTAAACATGAAGCATTCCAGGTTGGCCAAGGCATTGCTAACAGATATTTATTTGCCTGTTCACCAGAAAGTGTAAGTTGGCTTTTGAGTAAAAATTTTGCAAACTTTTTACAAATGACAACAAAAGCAGCTCGAAACAAAAGAAAGCTGAACAAATTTTCATTCAATTTACAGTCCAAACACAACTGTTGATCAACAATCCTTTTCAAGAGGATTTACAGTAAATAGTAAAGAAAAATTTTTCTCTGACAAAATCTTTTCTTCTTCATCTTCTTCCTTCTTTCAGAAAATGAAATGCCATCGTAAAGAACCTTGTCGATTATTTACCGTTATGAAACGAACCGATTTCGAGGAAGTAAACACAAGTACACTTTGTAATTGTGGACCTCGTCATTACTGTCCAGCTCATCATATACATCCCAATGTGATAGTAACAGCACCTTATCCATTGGACAAGATTAAAACTTATAGTGGTTATTGTGCGCCTTTACAAACATATGGAAATTTAACTTAACCCGTTTTTTGAAAAGCCAAGCGAGAGCCGCAAAGCAACAACTAACAACGACACACAAACGTATAGCCAAAGGTTAACCTAGTTTAATATTAATGACAAAATTTTCATTGAAAATGACAAACAACGGAAACAAACAAACAAATAAACAAACAAAACGAGAAAACAAACTTGGCAAAACAAAAAGCACACAGCAAACATTGGGAAGGAAAACCAGAAATATCAAGACAAAAACAATAGATTTTAAGAAGAAGAAGAATCTCTTTTTTTCCCTTTTTTTTGTTTTCTCTTTTACTTTTCTCTCTTCCTTTCCCTTGACCCTTCATGGTAATATTGGACGGTGGACAAAGCCATTGATCAAATACAGAATCACGGCTTCGATCCAGCAAAAATACATATTAACAGTTTAAACAAGGTACGCGAAAAAATAAACTACCCAAAAAGACATCAACAATTGAATGAACAAGTGAAAATGTTTCTTACAAGCAAACAGCAAACGTCAACAGACACAAAGCCCGCAACTTGGCCCAACACACATTAAAAATGGCAAACAGTGAAACAAATTAAACCAAAGGTAAGGTCAAAAGTGAAGCTTTAAAATCGCTAGCAAAAAATTTCATTTCATTTCAAGTTTATTATGATATTTAAATTGTGACTGGCAATAAGAAAGGTTAACATCATCATCCCTTTTTAGGGTGAAAAATAGCAGCAAAAGATGAAGAGGAAAATCATTTAAAATACATTTGAATTACATCTTATTTTTGGTTGCCTTTTCTTACATTTTTCAACTCCTCCTAACATTTTATATTCACTCTCACCTACTCATCATTTTCAAGACTCATTCTCATCATTATCATCATCAGTAACAGCAGCATCATCGTCTTTCATCACTTGCAACTTTGAGGTTAACAAAACAAACAAACACACAAAAGTACAAAAAGTAATAACCACAAAAAAAAGAGCCAAGCACAGGTTACTTTTGATTGTAACTTTGCGAGTCTCTTTTTTTTCTATTACTTTTCTTCTTCTTCTTCTTCCAATGATAATTATAATTGTAGACCAACACACAGTCAGATAAATAAGTTAACCGCAAAAAGATAAGGTTACCTGTAGGAAGATGATGATGAAGGTCTTGCCTATGGTCATTTTTTGCTCATCAATTTCCTATCTCACCTTTTTTTTACCTTCAGCTTTTACTTTAAACTCATTTCTTAAAGAAAAAAAACCTTTCTTCTCTTCTCAGGAGGAGTTAACTCAATAGATTACTATCCCAAAATTTTTGTTGGGACCATGCTAATAGACTATTCAATTGAATGGCTCCAGAAAAGATGACTACAACAAAAGTGGAACCTTTCTTCTTAATCTCATCTTCATTCCATTCATTTTAACCTTGCTGTTTCTCGTGGACATCACCATCATCATCATCGGCATCATCATCGTTATTATTCCTCTTTTTTTATTCTTCCTCTGCAATTCGCACTTTTTGTAACTATTTATTCACAGTAATATATTATCGTAATTGAATGGAGCAAAAAATAAACGACTAATTTTGCTTTGGCTACTTTATTATTTTCCAATTTAATTTCTGACCCAAACTGACCGGCTGCAAGAAATTTGCTATTACAATCATTACAAACATACTTTACATTGTCATTTTTGTTACAATGCAAATAAAGGGCAAAATAACCCGATAATGTCTGTTGGAACTGAATAACAATTTTTGGTGAAAATCATTTTCTCAACACTAAATGCTTGAGATACATTTGCTATTACAATCAAATCTGGTTTACATTACATCGACAGTTGAAGTCAATTATTGTCTGGTTTAAGTTAAATTGAAATCAAATCAATTTTACCTTTTATTGACTTTTTTGGGTTAAGACATTTACTGGTTTAGATCATAAATGGTTGAAATGAAAATGGGTTTTCTTCATTAAAATGAAATCAATTTTAGGCAGTCATTTGATTTGATTATTTGTCAAATGATACAAATGGTATTTTGTGATGAAATGAAAGCAACAGCTTCAAATGAATGGTCATATTTTAACCATCAATGGGTTGCAACTTTTCAATTTGCATCAATCATTTTTGACTGTCATGATTCTTATCAATACAAGTTTATCGTCAGCATTTGATGTGATATTTGAACGATCAAAGAAAGTTATCACTGACAGAAGCTCATATGAAAAACCACAAAACTCATTAAAATTGTGTACAGGGTTACCCTCAATTTTATGCTTCTCTGGCCCAGCATCATTTTCAACTGTAAGAAGTGAAGAAAAAAACATTTTCATCCTCTATAAACTTTCTCCTTCATTTATCTTTTTCTTTACTTTCACTATTCTTACCTCTGTCATCTAGTCCAGTCAACCATTTTATACCTTTTTTTACCTTTCCTATTTCCACTCCTCTTCATCATCTTCAACCTCTCAGCTTACTTTTTCTACTACTGTGACTCTTTTTTTATGCAACTATAACTTTTTTTTTCTTGGTGCAATGAAAACCTTCACCAATACAGAAGTCAGTGTTTAAATCGTTCCAGTCAAGGAAATCAAAAGTATAAGCTTCGATTGAACAAAATCTATGAGACATATAATAATAATGATGATAATAATATGGGACTTTTGGGTAAAAATGAGTTGTTTTTGCCTTTTTCACCTTTATTAAACTGTCCCGTAGAGAAGGAAGAAACTTTCAACTTTTTTTTCCTTCGCCTACTTCACTTTCAAAATGTTTAAATATTGTGTGCTGAGAAAAGTCAATGGAGCAACAGTAAGGTGTAAAAACATTGATAATATTATATATTTTTTTGACTCTTCAACTTGAAACAGGAAAAAAATGCAAAGGTAATAAGTGAAAGTGAAAATTGCATTTGCGAACCTTATTTCGGGTTAACGTTGCTTTGCACGGCAGGTTGGTGTTGTAATTGGCTTGCTTTGGGTTATTTATTACATCAACAGTTTGGTAATATTTGCAACCAATTGATAAGATTATTGAAATTACAGAAGTTTATTTATTGGCCTTTTCGCGATTTTAGGGTCACTGTGTTTGTTGTAAGGCACTCTTGTGGGTTTAAATGTTTATATCAATAGGTTTAGGTTTTGTGGCTCAATGTTCAGTGAAAATTGTATTGATAAAAGGTTACCATTTTAACAATTAGATGTTTATTATATTTTGTGGCTGATTAGAGGATTGATTTTATTAAGAAAAAATCTTTTCAATAATAAATTAAATTGTTTTTGAGGTTTGATTGCAATTGAAATTAACCGCGCTTACACAATTTTCCCGCTCATATGGGCGTTGGTATTGAGGTTTTGTTTTTGTAAACTGTGTTATTAACTATTGTTGATTGTATATTGTTCAAGTTAATTGATTGATATCTGTCTTGATTTTTTACGCCATTTAAGGATCAAACCATTTGATTTATACGTCATTATCAACTTGAATTAAAAACGATTGATTGCTACTGAATATTTAGGCACGGCTTCTAAATTGGAAACCGGTCTTAAATAATCTATTTGACTTACATCTTTACTGTTTGATTAGATTTGAAATTAAATTGTTACTTACCCAAAGCTTCACTGGTTACTTGGATTGTGCAGGAATACATTGCTGCCATGAGACGCTGAGGTTGAGCTTGAAACGCTTTTCGACAGCCATCTTTAACAGTTGACATTATTTGACCGGTAAATGGTCCATATGGATCACTTTCCGTTGAACTAGACGCCAGTTGATTAGTTGGTTCAATTGTCCAAGATTTAATGATGAATGCAACGCCATACATTGGCTCTTCACAGAGTGGACCAGAAAAAGATGCTAATTGAAAACCACTAATGAAACTGTACTCATAGTCAGATCTAATGTCATCTGTTAATGATGGTGAAACGACTGAAGATGGTGATGAAGAGTAAATGGTTGACCATAATGATCTTGGAAAATCGTCCATAGCATTGAAAAGTATATTAGGACCGCAATATTTTGGTCCGAAAGACCAAATACATTCGAAATTCTCTTTCAACCCGGCAATACTGTTCTCGGATAAGGTTTCACTCAATTTGTCTTTGAATTCATTCCATCTTTTAATAAGATCACTACTAATTAAATTATGATCCAAATGACTTCTGTTTTTATTAATGTCATCCACTTTCTTGATTAGATCACAGTTGACTTCCAGTAATTTGACAACTTCTTCCGGAAGAGGAACAGCCTTAATTTTAATTGTTGACTTCTTATTTGGTGTGGTTAGTATAAGAAAACCTTCCGAATCTTGTAAAATCTCATCGCCATTGACTATAACTGTACATTTTTGTGTTGATGATGAATTTGAAGTTTGTAATGACTGTGAGGAAGATGTTATTTCTGAAGATTGAGATGAGTTATGAGAGCCATTAATTGGTAAAACATGGCTATTGTTTGAAGTTTGATCGCTTGTTAGAGTTGGTAAAGCAACGATTGTCTCTCTAAAAGGTACGATTGGTGCAGAAACATTAACTTCAATTCCAGCAAATTTATTCACGAGATCATCGACACATTTTTGCATATGAATTTCTCCTGTAGTAATGATGACATGTTCACCCGAGTCTTGAATCCTAACCTCGACACAAGGATCAGATTGATTCAATAATTTAAGACCTTTAATCAATTTACCCATATCAATAGGATTTACCGGCTCAATGGCAACCCTTAAAATGGGTTGAGAGGGAACATGAAGGTCGATGAAGGGTGGACAATAAATACTATTAGAAAGGGTTGCTGATTTGATGACATGATCTTCAAGACCGGCAATTCCAACAATATTTCCTGATCCTACTGAATCAATTGACGCCAAACCACGACCCATAAGAATATAAAGTCCATCCACTTTGGCACAGGTAATGTGTTGGTCCGTTTTCAAGTCAGTTAACTTGGCGCTAGGATCTATCATAGTATCAGATGTTATTTTAGTTACATCGTGCTTAGGATGTAGAACATATAGTTGATCACCGGATTTCAGAGTTCCACTGAAAACTCTGGCGAAAGCAAGGAAAACAATGTTTTCTCTAATTTCATCCTCGTCGTAATCGTTTGTCTGAGCAGTTGGTGTTGTTCGTATTCTATTCGAGTAATCATTATCTTCCTCTGTGGAAATGGATCTTCCATCACTAGACATTATAGCAGCTTTAACGAGATCTCGACGATGAGCAATTTCTTCCTGTGTCAATGGTTTAGGCTTATACTGAGGTAGAGTATTTTTCTCTACGGGAAACATTTTGGAAATACAAACAATTGTAGGGCCATCTTTGGAACAGTGAAGAAACGCATCTTTCATATCTTTAGTTTGTTGAGGAAATAGTTCAAATCTAGTTGTATTGGAACACATTAACTTTTCCGCTCTTTCTCCTGTTAATTCTAATGGACTTGGGATTAAAGTACAAACAGCCGTTAACAAATTAGGTGCCAGGCATAACCAGTGAGTTAATATAGATTGAAGGACCACTCGAGGATCATTGTGAGTTACATCGCGACGATGTAATGTCAAATCGAGCGTTGATATTATTTTATCAGTCATTAATTTATCTCTTCTTATCATCACAGAATCATAAATGGACCAAATATTCTCTAAAATCATTGATACAAAAAGGGGCTTTTTAGCCTTTGCTTGAGCACCTTTCATTATACGTTTTGTTTTGCTATTGAGGTAATAATCGCCCCAAAGAGTTTTATTAAGAGTTTCTACTTTAAATCCATGTTTTCCACTAATCCATTTGGCAAAATCTTGAATTGTAAAACCCCAACCATCTAAGGCACTAGCAAAGACAACGTTTCCTTGTTCTGGGGCAAAATAGTAATTGGAATCATCTTTGTCATCTAAACCTGTACTCCAGTCATAAGTTGCTTCATCTGTATCATTATTTAAATTTGGATTATCTACTTGATTGTTTCTTTTTCCTGCAGATTTTTCTGCATTATCGTCTTCTTCATCTTCTTCTAGAACTTCAACATTGTAAAATTCACCCATTAAAGCATTAACTTGTTCCAAGATTTGCTGCAAATGAACATAAGCATCTATAGGTGTCAACTGTTTCTCCATAATGAGACGATCAATTTTATTTAACACTAAAATAGGTTTGATCATCTCGATCCATGCTTGGCGAATAGCTGTCTTGGTTTGAGCACAGAGTCCTTCTACCACATCAATAATTATTAAAGCACCATCACACAGTCTTATAGCGGTTGACACTTCACCACAAAAGTCGACATGTCCAGGTGAATCGATAACATTAACAAGATAATCTTGATCATCTGAGGATCAATGTAGAATCAATTAGAATTGTTTATGAAACAGATGATATTATACATAGAGATCAGAAAAGGAGGTAAAACTAGAGAGACAAACAATGAGCAAGGTGGAAGTAACTTACCGATGGAATGTCCAAGAGCGATGCTACTTGATTTCATAGTGATTCCCCGTTGTTGTTCATCAGGTCTACTATCCATGTACCTCGATTTACCAGCCAATCGAAGTGATATAATGCCATTACTTGCGATAAGATAATCAGCTAGGGTTGTTTTGCCTGTATCAAGAAAAGGACAAAAAACGTGAGAAAATAAATTTTAAAGGATGATTAGAGGTTCATAGATAACCACAATATATTGTAATTACGCATATAATAGCAGATACAAATGTAAACAGAATTAAAAAGCAAGAATTGTAAAAAAAATACTTTTGCTTACCATGGTCAACATGAGCCAAAATACATATATTTCTAATATGGGAAACATCATCTTGAATTGATTTAATCTTCTCTAAAGTGAAAGTTTTCATTTTACATTATTTAAATTATTAAAATAGAAATTATAAATGAGTGATTTAACACAGATTAACAATAAAAAACAATGGTTAAAGATTAGGTCAAATGGAGTGCTGTCACGTTTGAAAATACTTTTCACATGTAAACAAAACATAAAGGATTGTTTACTAATTACGATTGGTAACATTTGATGCGCAAATTTTCATTTTAAATCATTATTCCTTAAAAACAACAATTCTTAAACCGGTCCTTTTAAATTTATTACATTCTAGTCATTTAATTTACAATTTTTTAGATAACATCTAAAAGGCCTGATGTTATGATGAAAATTTAGGACATGGATCATATAAGATGTGCCCTAAGCAATGTTAAAAACTAAATCAAACGTAAATCAACTTGAATTTTTTATGAGTATGGATTTAATTAGAGAATTTAATCAAACGATGAACTCCATTATACAGTTAAATGCATTTATGGTAAGACATTATCAATTTTTAACATTGTACATTTTTAATATTTATCTAGCTTGGTATGTTATAGTGAAAATAGACATCTTATTGACATGGGTTAAAAATACTGAATAATTAACATGAAAATGATCATTAATATTGTCAATGCAAAATCGATGGATTAGAAGCGATTCCACAGCATGCTGATGATTAAGGTTATTGCAATCCAAACATGTTCGGGGATTGATCAGGTGTGAAGGTAAACAAGCACCATGCTTAAGAGTTTGAGTACATGAAACAATTCCTGTAATTTTATGCTAATTTTTTTTTGTCATTCATCTAATTATAGAGTGAAAGTTATCAAATATATAAACAACAGTGACGATATTGATTGCTTTTTGATTGCTTATTCCTGCAAACGGAAAACCATGGCCTGAAAGGTTTACAATATAATCCAATTGTATCCAAGTTTTATAGTAGAGTGGAGAAGTGAAAGTATATTTTAAAGAAAGAATCGGCTAAACACTGAATCAAATGTTCCCCCTTATCATAAAGCTCTTTGCTTTTGCGATCCAATCTTTAGTTAAGCAATTTTTCTTTGGAAAATATTTCATCCTTTTCTTTTATCTTGTATCATGTCTGTGAACTTTTATGACGTTGCTTTTGATTGAATGAATATCAATTTAATTGTATATTCGGGAGCATTGATCAACAGCAGTCGTTATACTCAGCAAAACAGGCATTCAAATCAACCAAGATCTTTCACCGGGAGTTATCAGTAAAGTTTGTGATTTTCATCCATCGAGGTACATTCAAAGATATTCTTGCCATGATATAGGTGATTGATCTGCAAAAATTTCAGTCTGAAGACAATTGATTTTGATTGCAAATTACATCGTTTGTAAGCATAGTAATGGGTAGAAATGAAAACTATATTTCCACTAGCAGTCTTTTGAAAATACAATCAAACTCTTCTGACAAATTTGAATTATGTCTTGATATTATTTTTGAAAAGCATAAAAAACAATGATAATCTTTTTTCAATTAGTTATTGATAAAATATTTCTGTCGCATTTCTTGATTCCTCAGGAGCTGGAAGCTTGCGTTACACTAAAAACATCATCAATAATCATCTGGGCAACTTTATATGCTAACTCTTCTTTTTCCTTTTCTTCCATTGAATTTTGTCTGAACATTTTAACTGCTCTTGATAAGCTTAAGCCATTTGACTTTCGATTAGGTTCGGGTTGAAAATGTGAGATTACTTTCCCATATCGGTCAACAGTAACCATTTGCAAATCTGTTGCATAATCTCTTCTCCAGATAGAATCATAATCGTCCAAATTTGACAGGCTTGCCTTATTACACAAATCACGACCAAAATTGGCCACGGATAATGAAGATGAGGATAAACTTGGTTGCGATGTGAAATGGCCTGAGCGATCACTACTTCCACTATCTCGGCGAGTTCTTGATGCAGGTATGGACTCACTGTTAATTTGTAACGCTTTGATTGCTTCATCAAGGAAAGAAAAGAAGGTTTGACTTGAAAGAAATTGTTGAAAATATGTTTCCTCGAAATATTGCATCAAAATAGAAATGGTCTTATCAAAACAATGTTTATCGCCACGATTAACCGCTTCTTCTGTTTGGCACTTAATTTTCTCACTCAACTCCAAATAGCTTGGTGAATCGGGTACAAAAAATCTTTGGTACAAGATTAACAGATCATCCTTTGTACAATCAGTTTTGCGAACATTTTCAGCCATCACCATAAAATCAATGTAGTGGTTCATTGATTCATGCTCCATGAATTCCATAAAATAAAATAATGTTGAATCATTGTAAAGAATATCAGCCAACCTCAAATGGCCACTGGTTAAAACTGAAACTTGATATTTACAGAAGTAATAGCTTTTGCAATACTGGTTGAAGTAATTAGCAGACAAGTTATTCACTATCCATTCAGCCAAATCTTTGAATAAGTCTCCTCCAACTGACGAGGAGCTGTCTGTTAACCTGGATTTTATAGTTTTAACGCAAGATTCTGGAATACCTAGTTGCTTGTATTTATCGTCACTAAGAAACTTTTCCCATATTCCTTCAGCATCAATTTTAAAATCAATCTCTGACGGTGTAAATTCCTTGGAGAATCTCTGGAAACATTCCAGTTGTATCCAAAGACGAATTAATTGTTTAGATGTTGATCCACGAGATTCCATGAATTGAACAAAGTATGAAAGACTTTCATGGTCCTTGAGAATTTCAATTAAGGTAGGAGACAACCGTGAGCGAGTTTCTAGTGGTTTCTTTTCATCATATATGGCTTCAGCGATATGCATCTGATGACTGCGATTGAGGTTACGATGAGATGATAAACCAGGTGAATTAAGGCTAGCTCGGAGAGCAATGCTAGAGAGGCTGTTATTACGTGTCGATGAAGGGGATTTAGTGACATCAAGAATCCTATCAATTGATGGTTCATTTGATGTATGAATAATTTCATTCCCCATTGAGAGTATTGCATTGATTCCATTCTCTCGGTTTTTATTAGCTGTAGCAAAATAGGAATAAAATGATAAAGAAAACATTTACAATTATAATTGAAATAAAATAACAATGGTATAGATAGAAAGAATCAAGGGAACTATCCACAGTTCAATGTGTTACGAGGAACATCGATTACTCAATAGTTATTGATAAGGTTGCTAAGATTGAATAAAATAAACTTCCCGACAACTCAAACTCTTGATTGTTAACATACAAAAAACTAGGCTATACTTGAATCAGAAAAAAATAGATCGAATGTGAAGTGAGTAAATATTAATATTGGCACGGTGCTTTAACAGAATCAAATTAGTTGATCTTTCTATATCATCATATTTTGATGATTATTGCAAGTGTCAATTAATGAGTTTAACTAACCTTTTCTCTTGAAAAAATTAAGATTCATCTTTCATAGATCATAATTGAAGGGAAAATCTGTACAGTCATGGATTATGTTGTATCTGCTTCAGCTGATTTTGATGTCCGTAGAAACAGTGTTCACAGAAACAGCGAAAATATTTTACAGTTGGTTATGTTTTAACAATAAAGAATTAAGACAAGCTGCAATGGATTAGTTAAATGATTGGATGACGATTGAAATTACCTTTAAAATAGAATTAAAGTAAATTTAGAGATTGAAAAACATTGGTAAACATTGAAAATAATACCTTTGAAGTCCAGATGGAAATAGATTCTACCTCATCTCCATGAAAGAGAAACACAAAATCACAATGTTGAGATGAATATCCAGAGTAAGAGCACCCAAATAATCTGAAGTTTAATAAAGTTGATTTAGATGTGACGGGATGACCATTCGATTGAAGTTCAAATTTGAAATAATTGGTAGATTTTTAAGCAATTTACATTATTTACTTCTGACAGGCAGAAAAATACAGATCGCTTGAATTCAAAGCAGCATCTCTTATCACAAAAATTAAAAGGTTTATCAACAAAAGAGTAATAACGATAAAATTTAGTGGGAAGATTCAGGGGATATTTAAAAACAAATGAATCAAATGAAACGGATAACAGTTGATTCCAGTAAACGATCAATTGGTAATAAAAACAAGGATCAACAATTGCAAATTACGCTGTAACCAAATAAAAAGATGTAAGAATAGCTTCTCTTGACTATTCTCACAGCAAAAAATTAAATAACATGAGCCGGTTTTTTTTATTATTAACTAAACTAGCTACCCTGTAATCACCAGTCAAGTTGTTTATTAATTTCATTGAACATCCTCGTGATAAAGAGATAATCTAATTTTACCAGAGGCTTCAAGTTTTTAATATTTTTATATCTGTAATTATTACAAATACTTTATTAGATTATGTCTATTGAAAATCTGAATGATTCCTGTTTACTCAGAATATTTCGTGAAATCGATGACAACCAAACTTTGATTATGTGCTCACTAGGTAAGTTAAAAGCCTATACATTAAAACTAAACATTAAAACAGCTGTTGATTGTGATTGTATCTTTCTTATCTTATAGTTAACCGACGATGGTATTCATTAATTTTGCCTAGTTTGAAGAGATTTGAGTACGGGGAGAGAAGTCAAACTGAAAGGTACGGATTAAGAATAAGAAACGATGGTGAAATCGTTGTTTTTACGAATGAAACCGAGCCTGGCTTTTTAACGGTAATTGGAGACAAAATTAAACAACTTTACATTCCAAATATGACATTAGACGAGTTTAAAAAATATGTAAAATATCTACCAAGACTAGAACGATTACATCTGTCAAGCTGCTCTGGTAAGTCATTCAATTGAAAATTTTCTGTTTTAATTTAAAGGTAATGAACCATTGTTTTTGCAGGTTTCTCAAAGCCAAGTGAACGTTATGATGGACCTAAACTCGAAAGACTAGAAATACTTGAAATAAGAACAGAATCATCTGTGAGCAGTGAGCCATACAGGGGGTTAAGTTTAATGGATCGATGTCCTTCGCTGAAAAGCGCTTTCCATTGTGTCGATGGGGAAGAGTTTTTTGTTGACACACAAGTGACAAATTATCATTTAGAGGATTTGGTTATTGAAAATGTAATTATTTATATCAAAAATACAATTAGAAAATGGTTTAAAACTTAGATTTATCTTTTTCACAGAGCTTTTCCACTCATGCAGTTAATTGGCCAACTTTACGAAAGATTTTAAGAAAATGTCCTAATCTAAAGCATTTAGCTATAAGACATTCGTACGACACTGATATTGAAGATGAAAATATACCAGAAATGCTGGAATTGTTACCGAAAGTGGTTCTAATCGATTTACGAAAGTCTCCTGGTGTCACTGATATATCTGCTGATTATGTGGACGAGTATTGTAAACTTCACAATCGTTCAATAGCATTTTATTATGCTAAAGAACACGATTATGACATCAAAGTTGATTGGCCACAATTATCAAGCAAAGTGTCTCAAAGATGCCATGGCTACAGCTTCATGGTGCATTGTTTCTTGAAATCATTCGGCGGATTACCTTCATCCATGAACCCACCCTACTTACCTTTGCTCAAAGATTATGTTCGCAAATATAATTCGACACCTAAAGTTGAAGAAGAAGATTCAGTTTTAGGTAATTTTTTCGACTAACGATTTTAATATTTTGTAAGTGACTGTTAAATTTTAATTTTTTATGAAACTATAATATATTTTAATATATTTAAACTATAAATTAATTAATCTAGTCTATGGAAGTTAATCTAATAAAGTTATGAAATGACAACCGACAACAAAACGATTGTAATAAATTATTCTTCGATAATTTTTTTTTGAATCTTGCATCTTTTAATAATTTGGATTTAACCTGACATCAAGGTTTTTTTTAAATGGATGATGTTATGGAAATTTATTGTAAAAATTCATTCCTTTCTGGATTTTAATGACGCAAATGAAAATTGAACATTTTTAATAGTGAACATAATTTCGTTTTTATTATTGTATTCATTGGATGCTAAGTGAAAAAGTTGGATTGAAAGATTATATATAGAAAGAAAGAAAGAATGAGATAGCTCGTGTAGAGCAGTAAAAAAACTGCATGTGTCTTAATCACAAAATAAATAAACATTGACAGAATCTCTTATTTCTCTATAATTACAGGAAAAAAATTAGCACATATCAACCTCTGTTGAAGTTGAATCATTGAGATCTTCATCCTCAGATTTATCCTGCAAAAGTTGACCAACCTCGTCCTCCAATGTATCAGAGGATTCTTTTTTTATTCCAACTGGTCCGTTGGATTTAGTAATTTTTGAAATTGATTTGGAAATATTACTATTGTCATTACTATCTTCATCACTATCATCGAAATCTTTCATACTGATGAGTTTAGTTTCTTCAGTTATCTTATTCACATCATTAATTTTACCACTAATGATAGGTGATGCTTTTTCATCTTTACTTTCATTCATTGTACCATTTAGATTGGTCATGTTAACTGAAGAGTTAAGTCTGGCAAGTGCTCGAGTTTTGGCTGGTGATAAAGAAGACTCTTTCTTGATCGGTCCAGAGTGTCCCTTAACAAACGAATCATCGATCTCACTAGTCATGGTATTGTTGAAAATAAGATCACCCTTTTCAGTTTCCTCTTCCGTGGACGAACCAAAGTCTTCTGGTGAGTTACGAGAAGAGCAAACGATTGATTGTCTAGTGTTGTCATCATTCCTATCCTCATCCATTTCTTGATCTAGGTCACCATTATTGTTTAAATTGCCATCAATGGCTTCGTCGAGAGCGTTTTCATCTTGTGGAATTTTTAAATCCGACCTCTGTTTTCTCTTTTTTGCAGAATCATACCTAATAGAAAATAATAGAATAATTCATAAAAGAACAAAAGAAAGCGTTACAAAATTGATAAAATAACGGATAAAATTGATCAATTAAATACGAAAGATTAACATTTATATTTTTTGAAAATAGCTGTTGTTCAGACAAAATAAGGCAAAATGGAACATTCAATTAAATCAAGTAACTAAGCAATATCATGTTTACTGACAGGAGAATGATCATCAAATAGAAAGCTAGACTCATTGACTTGAATTGAATTGAACAGCTGATTAGAAATACAGATGAAGTAACATGACAAGCTGTTCAAGTCTGGATAGATTAAATAAATTCTTACCATGTCTTGGTCTTTCTTCTCCTTTTTTTACGCGAAGACTTTGAAGTTAAAATAGTAGAATCATTATTTGAAGGCAGTGGAGTAAGCGAATTTTTGGCAGGACCAATAGGGCCACTTTTAATTTTTTGTTCATCTATGGTTAGTTGGATGTGCGGTTGTTCATCTTCTTCACCTGCACTTCCTTCTTGACTACAAACACTATTAGGTGCTATTAATGGTGTCCATCGTAAGCCGTCTTCCTCGACCCATAGTCTACGTCTTGATAAACTTTCAAGCATTTCTGCTTTCAATTTTATATTATACTTTGGAGATCCTTCCTCTTCGTGATAACTGATCATATCAAATGTTTGTAAAGTTGATGCAATGTCGTGCACATTCATACCGGTTGCTTTGGAAATTTCTTCAATGTTGGTGGTTTCTTTGTCTTTAATGAACTTTAATATACTTGACTTCCAGAACGATTGGTATGATAGTTTACCAAGGTCAGAAAGAGGCTTTTCTGGTGTACCAGCCATACCTTCACGTCGTGAAAGAAGATAACTGAATTCAATAAGGAATCGTCCATAACCCTGTCTTTGATAAATAGGAAGTGTCATAATACAAGAAACATTATATTTTTGCGCACAATGTTTTTCTTTGCTGAAATACCCAACAAGATGACAGCCTAAAAAATTAAAGTTTTTCAATAAAAAGAAAAGAAAGAAAACATTAATAAAATTATTAGCTTGAAGAAATTTAAACTTTCCGTCAATAATAACTAACCTTTTTCATCATTTCGAGTCAATACATAAAATAGGAAAGGTTCGACGTCATAATATAAAGTTTTATGGTCGAGAAATAATTTTGCAAGAAGACATAAATTTTGACAATATATTTTGCTAACCAAGCCATCCACTTCGAAAACACTTAATTGGACATCATCATCATCAATAATATGATTGTTACGATAAATCTCAGTTGCAGGAGGTTGAAAAAGAACACATTTAGTCTGAAACAAATGACAAAAACAATGAAAAAATGATTACCTATTCAAGAGAAGATATTGACAATGTTCATATACGACTAACCCAATGAAGTACCTATTGTTGTCGTAAATCTTCACTTAAAGATATAAAAACTATTCCTTCAACTGATGACCCTTATTAATAGATATACGAATCACATTGCACATCACAATTCAATACTGAACATAGAAAGCACGCTAAGGTATCTTCTTAGGGTTTCCAATCAACACCGGCAATGAACATAGACTTACAGAATGCCTTTCCAAGATAGGCTTGCTTTTCATGTATTTTAAACAGAATTCACAAATAAACAGCTTATGAAGTCGAGCATATTCTTGAGGATATGGTGATGAGTACCAAGTATCAATTTCATATTTTCCAAATTCAATTGCAGCTGGACATCTAAGGGTAGAGGTTGGGGATCCACCGGTTAATCCAGGAGTACAGCTAACACTTGAATTGAGTTTCTTTTCCTTGTCTTTGTCTTTATCTTTATCCTTATCGAGAATTATTCCCGATTTATCTTTCAATGGTGTACAAATATGAGTAGAAAATTGTTTCTCAGCGACTTCTTGAGCTTCTTTGAATAGCTTTTTATCAAACTCGCTAACGCTGGTTGGCAATGTCCTTAATGGTGGTGAAACTTGTGATGTTGTCATCATCAAAAAAATGATGACTGTTAAAGGTGAATCAATATAAGAGAAGGATTTGAATAAAAATATATCAAGAAATAAAATAAAAACATAACAATCCTTATTATAGTTTAGGTTTTTTTTGCTAACCAGTTTCAGGTTTCTTTACATACTCTCATGCGGATTGATCAAGTAACAAAAGAGAAACCGCGCTTTTTATGATTAACTTAACAGTTTAATTAAATAATGAACTTACCTAAATAATTTTGTTTTAAGAACTAGTTTGCCAAGCAGCAAGAATAATTAAGTCCAATTGACCTTTCTGATATACCTAAGATAAAAACAAGAAAAGAATAGATTGAAGAGACAAAGGTAACAACAAAACAAGAAAAGTGAAAGAAAAGCAAACCAAGAAACCAAGCAAGTCCTGTATATAAAAAAAGTAATTTTCACTCACATTGTATTCCTGTATAGATACTTCAAATAACCTGAAAAATATTAAACAAATATTCCAAACGATAACAAAGATTCAAACAAACAATTTAATAACATATCATCTCAATTGAAAATTGAGACAATTTATTAAAGTTGAACAAAAAATGAACCGACAGATTGATAACAATCATCAAAACGAGTTGAATAGATCCGAGTTTATTTACCGCACAAAAGTAACCATTTCTTATGGCTTTTTAAACTTTCTTTTCTTTTATTTATTAACCGTGAGCTCATTTCAAGTAACCAGTTACACAGCTACTGGATAATAAAAATGAGAAAATTGTAAGCGGCTTTCACTCCTTGGATACATTGAGAGGGAAATTCAAAAAGGTAAATTTTTAATGAGACAAATAACAAGCATTTACATTATTCCGTCGAAACATATACTGTTTTTCAGCATTGCGAACATTTTTTATCAACTCAGGATAAGTTTTGATGGTTTCGATATTTTGTAATTCTGCTTGTATGTGAATATCCAATCCATTGATGCAAATTTCAAGAAACTTCTCAAATTGAATGTTACATTTAACACTGTAATGTAACATTTCAGTGCAATAAGCAACCACATCTTCTCCTTCCTCTTGTTTTGTGTTGTAAAGCAAGGAGTAAAAATCTTGATGATTTGCTGGCGGGAAACAAGCAATGAAGAGACTCTTAAAATCTTCCCAATTACGAGGAAAATTTGACACATCACTGCGAACATATTGATACCAACTTTTTACTTTTTCATCAAAAAAGAGTGGAATCCTTTCAAATCGTCGATTGTCATCCCAATTTGCTTGCGCTGTTGTCGTCTCAAAATTATACAGCCAATCGTAAACATTCATCGATGGAGGACCAACGAAAGACACTATTTTCACTGGTAATGGCACTGAATCGATGTTGAAATCAACTGAAACTGTAGCTTCACACAAGTCTCTGATTAGTATTCCCGTTGTAGATTGTTCGTTATCTCTTTGATTGCTTGTACTCATTATACAGAAGTTACAACAATAACAGTAAATAAAAAGAAAAAGAAAAAATGCTAAAGTAGCATAAAAATACAAAAAAAGCACAAAAGATGAATAATGATTGAATGGTTTTATCACGGTTTAATGTAGCGACATTAACTGAACATTGAATACTGATTGCAATCACTAGACAAGTTTATTTTTTCAAATTTCACATTGCTTAAATTTTTAATTATAGAATCATTAAAATTGATGAATTCCTTGATTTGATGTAAGTTTCGTGGGAAAGTATCAATAGCTTTCAATACGTGTAGGTTGAGTAATCCATTAATGTTGATATTTATTTTAAATATCTAAAACTACGTAATTACATTTGTCTGGAAATGTTTATAAGCTTGAGAACTTTCTGATACCTGCTTGACCTTTAAACACTTTAGTTGTAATCAGTATTGTTATTATAAATGCTTTTCATCATTCATATTTAACGTGCATAAAATTTCATTTTTTAAAGTAAATTTAATTCTATAATCAGTCTTAAAGACTGTTGAAGTGAGCAATTTCTATTTGTGAAGTTATGATGAAAATCTTTCAAATTTTTGCTTAAATCAGAAACTTTGTGTGAAAATGGCTAACCTAAAATTATGAATGATTGGCTTGATAATGTTAGTTATAAAGGTTAGGTCTAAACATTTGAACATAATTACATAAAGCTATCTATTTAATTGTCTTTCTAACTCTTTGTTTACATAAGAAAAGTTTTACTGTAATTATAAAGAACATGTAATCGTTAATGTACTAGGACTCATTTTTTGGGGTTTGTTTTTGTGGTTTTACTACTTTAATACTTCTATAATTTTCAATTTTATTATTTTAAATAACCTGTTATTTAGTTATTTAATTAGTTAGCCATCAGAGTTATTGCATTAAACATCAAATACATTTATTCTAAAATATCGCTAAGACTTCATAATTGTTAGCTATTAAATAATTCAAATATTGCTGAGATTTGTTATCATAACAATAATTCACATGTAATTCCAACAAAGTTTTCTCTTTTGCATGTTTTGTGAGAGTATTTAAGAATATGAACAATAGGTGGCGTTAGCTGACTCATTCACTAGATTTTTAGATTGCAATTCAAAAGAAATCCAAAATAAAAAGACAAGTTAATCAACACTGTAACAATTTAGCAAACAATTCAAAAACATTTATACCAACAATTAAAATTTAGAAAAGAACTGAATTATCAATATATTATTCATGAAACATTCAGGAATACATTCTAGTTAAGCCGCGTAAGCGACAATTTTTTCAAAAGCTTTTTGTTAAACGATTTGCGTATAACATCCAACTATTCGGTAAATATGTTTTTTATAAAAATATGGATATATTCACATATTAACTTAATTTTGATTGATTAATTAATGGATTAACAGAGTAAATGGTGAAACAAATTTGCTCTGTGTATTGATTACAATTTCATGTTGGGTGTTAAGCTGAGCATTGCTGCTGGCTGCTCAAAAACAGCATTTAAAGAGCATCAAAGCTTCATAATCTTGAAGACCGTTATGCCGTTTAAAACCTAGAAAAGATACCGTTTATACATTTACCAGCAACGAAAAGTGTCCCAAACTATTAGCATTTCTACCGATATTAGCCTTCAACTCCTTAAAGTTCATATTTTTTATTCATTGTTCAGTTTTTTTGGCATTGTGTTGATATTGATGCTTGCTCCTGAGAAGATGATCATTTTCACACTCTAAGAATCCATTTTATGCTAAAAGCCATGAACAAAAAATACACACATATACGTATAAACGTAGATGTATGCAGAAGAAGCAAAAAATCCCATTGGGAAATGATAGGAACAAATTTTGCTCTTTTGCACCATTAGAAGGTTATCTTTTCCTTTCCTCTGTCTCAGTGTATTTTTATTTTACACAGCATTTTTCAAATGGCACGCTTGGGACATCTTCAATAAAAAAAGCAAAGACTTCAGTGAGCCTGAACCAGTAGCTAAAGATGATGAGAAAAGGATGAGTATGGAGATAGAAAAAAAGAGGTGAAGTTCAATTTCATTGATAGAAAGTGAATTTGCCATCAGCACAGTTGAAAAATATTATATTTTATGTAATAAACTTGAAGAGACTTGAAGAGAAGGCGAAAAGGTGAGGGAAACAAAACAGATAAGCAAAAATTTTCTCACCTTTTCTTACTGAAAGTATCATCATCATCAACATCAATCTAAGTTTAAAAATGTATTCAAATAACAAGCAAAGGATGGCACTTTTGTTTATATCACATTGAACTTTGAATACAACATTAATAACAGTTGACATTGGTACCATTTAACCTTTCAAGCTGTTTACCATTTTTAATAATCTTTAGCAATTAAAATGTATCCCAATGAAGTGTCTAAATTTCAACTGTTAAATATTGAGTTTATGTGTTTATTGATCTATCATAATGGTAATGTTAATAAGTAAAGTTATTATGATGATCGATTAAATTGATCGAGCAAGGATTCATGGTGATGATGAAGCAGAATGATTGTTATCAAATGAATTGGTTAAAATTAATTCATCATCATGTTAATATTCACAAGAGAGGAATAAGTTGAAAGAATGGAAAGATGAAAATGAAGAAATAAAAGTGAATATGATGATGATGATGATGATGATGATGATGATGATGGGTGTTAAAGTTGAACTAAATACGAAGTAAATCTATATAAATATACATTCTGATAGATGAATAGAATCATAAGTCAGTGTAAATTGTATAAATGTGAAGAAAAGGATGAAAAGGAAGATGAAGAAGAAGAATGAAAGAGGAAAATTGTGAGCTGAAAAAAGGTCCAAGAATGATTGAGAAAAGTGATGATGATGATGTTGATGATGAAGATGAGGATGACACAGAAAAGAAGAGTAATTTATCATTTCCCTTTCCATGTCTTCAGGGAAAAACATTGCACTTCTCGTTACGGATCGAGGAAGAAGCAAAAGATGATGATGACGACGATGAAGATGATGAGGAAGATGTTGGTGATGATGATGAAGAGAGAGAGAGAGAGAAAGTATTTCAAGATTAAATAGGTTTGTTTTTTGTTTCATCTTTTAGCTTCTTGTTCATCTCAAAATGGGGTTTATGTAAAAACTAAACTCATCATAAAATGGTCCATCCATCATCCATTTGAAATGTTACTTTCACTTTCATCTTCATCATCTTTATCATCATCTTCTTACTCCATAATGGACCTGAACGTTCATCAGATGAGTTTTGAAAGAAGCAAAGAAAAAGTGACTTTTTTTCTGATGAATATTTTCTCTCCTTTCTTCTTCTTCTTTTTTCTTCTCATCTTCATCATCATCCCTTTACTACGAAAGAAAGATTCAAAGAACTAGTAAATGATGATAAACGATGTATAGGTACATCTTTCACTTTCATCTATTCATGGGAAGAAAAGTTCAATAACAAATTCTCTATTATCATTAAATTGTATCCAATCAATTTTTACTTTCACTTATTTGTTTTTTGCTGCAAGTACAATCCTTTATAATGCGCGCCAGTTGATTAACCGAAAATCTTTTCCCTCCATTTAATTTGGCGTCGCTACTTTACTGCTTTAATCATTGAATCTTTGAAAGCTAAATTTAATCGTTGGTCTTGTTGATTAGTTTATTGTAGTTATTGATATGTTTCAGTATTTTATTGGGACTTGAGCCTATTCATCCAATTATTACATGCATCTAATCTGGCACTTCAGTTTGAGTAAGTACTGTTTCCATATAATATTGTAATTGTTCCTCGGCTTTGTTCTCGATCATTGATTTTTTGTTTGCTGTTAACCAGGGTTAATTTCATGGGCCTTCTTTGGAACTATTGGCTAGCTTTTGGTTAATCAAAGACTCAGATTACCAACTTTAAGCTTACATTTTATGGCTAGCATTTGTCTACTGACCAAATATTTGGAAACCGTTCTGCTACTCTTAAAGTTAAAATCCTAGGTATGATTTTTTAGCTTTTCACATATTACTCTATGTTAAATCTATTATTGTCAAGAAATCTTCTTTGAATGCATAAAAATAAACATTAATTTCATGATAATGATGGGGTGCATATTGAAATATGTAGATTTAGTGAAAAGTGTAAGATTGAAATTGTTGAAATGAAAAGATGTTGAATAAACAATCATGTTTATCTATTATTTTTAATATTTTCTTGTCTCTCTTCCAGGCATAATGGTAATGAGAGACGATGAGAAGGAGCAAACGAAAGGCTTCAATACCCTTCAGTCACATCGTCAATTGGTAAAATTATTTCATCTTTTTTTTCTTCTTCTTTGCTCTCCTCATGATTATTATTGTTACCTTTACTGTTATCATTGTTGAACAGTATACTTTCCATTGATACTCGAGGGTATTATAAAAATAACACTTTTGGCCTTTTTTTGTGCTTCCAATAGAAGAAGAAAATGAAGATGAAAGAAAGATCCAAGTTGTGAATGAAAAAAAAGAGTATGATGATGATGACCACTACTGGTTTACTCATGATAGAGACTAATATTTCCGATGGGATACATTAGATTGTGACCAATGGTCACTAGCTTCATTCCCTTAATTTTACTCTCTTTTTATGGTGATTTTTGTTTCTCTGCTTCATTCCTTTATTTCCATCCTTTATTCAATCTCAAATATTATTAATTAGCTTTTCATCCAAAAGAAAAAGCAAAACAATGATTAATATAATTTTAATTTGACTTCATTTCTACTTTCAGATGATTGGTATTTCCAACAAATATGGCTCAATTAGGATAAAAGATACAGAATGGATAAAGGAATAAGATGTAGAACTGGAAAACCCAAACAAATGACGGAATGAAATAAAGTCAAACAAATGGAAGAAGGAAAAAAGAGAAAGAAAAGACATTCGTTTTTCATTTTATTACCTACGTTCATTCTTCTTCTTCACCATCAACATCAACATCATCTTCATCTTACTATCAACATTTTACCTTGCAGTAACATTGGAAGAATCCTCGTTCCCTCCATCTTACTCAGAATAGTTCCAAATGAAGATCCCATGAGAAATCTGTTAGCCAAACAATAAGAGATGAAAAAACGTATCTCTTAATTGAATGGACCATATCCATTGACTTCTTCATCAACATCATTATCTTCTCATTTTTCCGTTTCCTTTCCTTTAACTGATTTGGCCTTCTCGACTTTACCTGATAGTCAAAGATGTCCATCACTAAACGAGCAAATAACCCTGAACTCCTTCCATCCTCATCATTTCCTAATTCACCTTTTTTTATTACATCACAACATTAAGAAAAGATTCAACTATTTACTTCCTAATTAACGTTTCTCTCCTCAATTATTGATCAACCTGTAATTGTAAATCAATAATACATAATGGTTATGGTTTAATCTTTTCTCAAATTGTTCAGTATTCATTATTGCTTCAGGCCTTCAGATGAACTCAAAGTTAAATTCTCTAACAGATTATGTTCCCATTAACAATACAAATTCAATGGTAATATTCATTGAGAATATATTCATCCTTAACCTTTCATGGCATTTCCACTCAACACAAAGAGAACGTCTATAATCATGGAAATGAATTTGATTCCATAACCATTTATTATTCTTGCTCTTATAACGAGTTTAATACCTTTTTTTGTTACACATTATCAGATAAACTCAAATGTACACCTTTTTTGTAACCCTCTAAAGTTGCAACTTAATTGTCAGCTTATTGATTATGAAGATCAACTTAATTGTGATTAATTACCATGTAAAAAGTTGTTACCATTTGCCTCAGCAAAATGGGTTTAGGTTAAGGTCAAAGTAAACATTACTTTGTATGATATAATAAAGATTGATTAACACAAAAGTAGATTAGAGGTAAAATTTTATATTTAAACTATTAACAATAATAGCTAATTAAAGGTTAATGTTTGCATTTTCAGTTTTAACATTGAAAATAAACTGAAAACCCAAAAAGTCAATCTAAATGGGAAATGAAAAGGAAACTTAAAAAGCATCTCAATTAACAATGTCAATCATTAGGCCATCAATTTTACATCTTTCATCAATTGTCATCAACTGAAATTGGTTAATTTTTAATTGTCAGGAAAATGTCAATCAATAAACTATAATTAATTGGTTAAAAACAGTTTACTTTCAGTAAAAACAAAAGTCTAGTAAAATGAAGAAGAAGAAGAAGAAGATTTCAAAGACTTTCCCGAAGATGAATTGAAATTTTAAGGTTGATTGTTATGATTGTTAAGATGATTTGTTTTGATGAACATGATTATGTTGAAACTTTATTCAGTTTATTAAGGGTTATTTGATATATTAGATTCTTGAATTGTCAACTAAATCTCGCCTGGGAATTGCGATTAGAAGGTTTTTCATAATATTGCCTTTACATTCAATTTTACATCCTATCATAGTTGTCTTGATATGATAAAATGATTTGGTAACAGTAACAAGTTCTTAGTATCATAATAATGATGATAATAGAAACCGAAGAATAAAAAATGTTGAAAAAGAGCAAGAAAAATGTTGATAAAAGGTAAGTCGCTCATTATTCCAGTAGTAAAAGGGTTTTCCTGACTGACAGTTTAATAATAATGTTACCCATCTAAATATACAATTGTTATAACAACATTTAAGCGGATTTATCTTGATCTAGTTTCTACTCATTTAATGAATGTTTGCTGTTGGTTAAAGGTTGAAAATTAAGTTGAAAAATACAAAAAGAGTTAAAATTGTCATTTGAAAGACATTGTTTGATGTATTCAGTCTTATAGTCAATGATCAACTTGATTATGGATTTGTTGCCTGATATCACTGTAATATAAGATTGGACAATTGTATGTAAGCATTTAGATTGTCCAATGTTGATTTGGGAATACGAAGATAGAGATAATTGGGATTGGTAAAAGAGTTGAGAATGAAAAGATACATTGAAAAGGTTAAATCATGAGCTCAGGGGAAAGACAATCAAATGAGTAAGTAAGGAATCAATACTAATGATGAGAGATTCACAATTGACAGCAATAAATGATAATTCAATGTTAATGGTTCAATATTTTTAGGCCTTTTTTGTATCTTCAACCCAAAAGCCTTTTCTTAAAAATGTTCATTCATTTCAATAATCATTGTTTTTTTGCCTTCAATTGAATCTGGAAAAGGCAAAATTGACTTGAAACTTTTGTCAATGATAAATGGTTTCAACCTTTTTTTTCAACCATTTCCCTGGATCCATGATAAATGGTAACTTTATTTATAAGATTAACCCTTCTTATTTACCTTATTTTTTCATCTTCATTTTTCCAGCTTTCAATTGTTGGCTTGCCATCTTGATAATGAATTATTGCATGATAAAAATTAATTATTCTTGTCAACTCTGTTTCCCATCAACATTGGTATTGTGATTAAGATGAACTTTGGAAACAAGATTCAAGCAAGAAAAAAAGGTTTCTTCTCATTAATTAAGACAATAACTAACTTTAATTAAAGCTCGAGAGGAAACTTTCAACTGTAACTTGTTAAAAGATGAATGAGATGATCATTGTGATGAGTAAAAACTGTTTATTCCGCAAAAATTAATCAACATAAGAAAAGGTTTCATATGATTGTAATTAACTACAATGGAAACTTAAAATTTGAACATCATTTTTGTATCAGGTTGACATTGATAATTGGTAAGATAATTTGTTAAATCATCTCGAGTTTATTGTGAGATGGTTTTGTTTGTGCTTGGCTAAATGTTACGTTGACAGTTTGAAGCTTTTTTTAAGGTAAAGGCTTTTTCCAGGATAATCTAACCTGCCAAGGGATGTTTTAATTAATTTATGTAACAATAATTCGCGAGTTGAGTTCATTGCATTTTCATGGCGTTTCTTGGCACTTTCATCATTGACTGACATGTTTTTCACTCGTTTTCATTCAAAGTGAATAAGACTTATTTGTTTTGTCCCGTGAGACTTGGAGTCTCTTTTGTTTTAATGATTTAATGATTTGAGAGCAGAATTATGTTGAGAGTTTGGAAAAGGATTCAGGGAAAGGAGTAGGAACAAGGATGTTGGAGATAAATTCAATCGTTAAAGTGAATTGATAATGGATAATGGATTATGTATACATTACAACCTTTGAAAATGTTTGTTTGTTTTGGACAAAAAAAGTGCAAAATATAAAGACGAAAGAAGAGAGAAGATAATGATTAAATAAGGGAAGGGTAAACAGGAGGAAAAATGGAAAACTAAAGATTAGAGAAAACGAAAGATGAAGATGTTTGCGGTTTTTTTATGATGATTTTTGTTGTTTTTTATGAATTTGTGGGTGAGAATGATGATGAGAAATGATGATAAATGATGGCAAAGGTCAATAGTAATTTTAAGAGTGAAAGCGCAAAAATGGATCAACTCAGAAACCAGGCCAACCAAATAGTGAACCAGGTACGGTGGGATTAACAACTGTACCAGGACTTCCATAGCTTCCATTAACTGAGTTTCCACCTCCACCAGTGCCACCTCCACTGCCACCGCCTCCATAAGAGCTGCCTCCACTATTGGATTGAGGTGTAGACGCATTGGAGGCATAACCTCGACTAGGTGAAACGCTATTATTTTGTGCCCGACTGTATTCCACTGCTGAATAGGCTACATTGAAACCAGCAGCGGACATTGCAGCAGCAGCAGCGGCATTATTCAATGCACTTGCCGGTGACCGAGGGCCTGGAAGAGATGATAATTGTGAGGTATTCCGAGGCATACTATAAAACACTTCAGCCAAGTCTGCGGCTCTTCTCAATATAATTTCCTGTAACAAGCAAAATAAAAGACAAAAAATGAACATTAGTAAAGATGAAAGATATTTCAAGTTGATATTTCAAACCACATTTAACTTGAAACATTGACTTGAAATCATTTATCTCATAAATTTGTTACCTTTGGCAATTTGTCAAGATCTCCTGGATGTCTTGGAACCAGTTTTGCTAGCCTTTGAAATCCTTGGTCTATTGTAGGTTCATTAATTGCTGAAATACAAAGAAACAAATATATTAATTATCATTAATGAATAATTGGTGCAAGTTGTCCAAGAATGAAGATTGAAAGCAAATCAAATTGCAACAATATTTTTGCATTTAAAATAATCCAAATAATAAATCCCTAAAGGGATTGAATAACAGCAACAACAAAAGGATACAAATGTTTGTACTTTTTGTTTGACTCGGTTGTTCAATGAAAAATGGGAATGGCGATGAAAAGGGAAGAGAAATTAAATTTTCAATCAGAAATTGAATAAATAAATGGATAAATGTATATCTGATCAAATCAAGATTACAATTTAATACAAGTTAATAAAGAATCAAATGAAATGGTTTTAAGCAAGCTTTAAGCATTAAACAACAAATAGTCATTTCATTTGAAAAGTAAACTCAAAGTCCAAAAAAGAAAGCATTATTTAGATCAATTTTACCTTTAAATAATCATCTTTACAAACAAATAAAATGTTGAAAGGCAAAAAAAAGCAAGTCAATTTATAATGAAATGAAGGAAACAATGAATAAGATGAATAATAAAGATGAAGATATGGTTGTGAAGATGAGGAGTGAATTCAAACTTAGAGGCAAATCACATTCAAGGTGATTGAGTTACTCATTTCAATGTTTTCCTGCTGATTTTTGTTCATTGCTTTTTCTTGTTATCAAATTGTTATCAAATAACAAGAGCAATACAAAAAGAGCTCAAAATAAAATCAAAATAACAGCAACAATAGTCGAGGCAAAAAACAGCTTTAATAATATACAAAATAAAAGTGTTTTTTTTGTCAAAATGACTTCCAATGTTAATATTGAAAGACTTATTCAGATTGATTCAGATTCAACTTTTTGTATCAAAAATCTCTTCATTTTCATCTATTCCTTCAAAGGTAACATTATCTTCATCAACATCAAAATTATCTTTAATGAACTTTCAAGTTATTGTAAGATATTCAAGTGCAACAACAAAAGAAGCATTCATCTATCAATTAATCGTTAATTGCCTGATAATTATCATGTAAAACATCTCTTAAGAACTTGTTTCCTTTCATTGAATGATTAAAATGGTAATAACATCACATGTATTTACATCATTTTATTATCTAAATAATTAGCTCAAGTCGAGTGAAAAGTTCAATATGTTAAGATATAATTCATCAATCATTATCATGTTAAATCTTGTAGAAAATTTAATCTCAACTAAGAAGTAGAAAGGATTCAATCGAATGATTTAGATGATGAAAGGAATGATTATCATAATGTAATCAAGCAAATAAAAGGTTGTTTCAGATGAGAAATAAAAACAATGAGATTTAAAGCTGAAATGATTAGATACAGATAAAGGATAACATTTGCTTTCAATTGTTAAATGGTTAGATTCGGATAAAATGGGTTGTAAAATAGGAATTTAATTGCAAAAATATATTGCTTGTAGTTAAAGATTTAAGGACAACAATTAAGGGTTGCAAGAAATGAAAATGTACTTACATATGTATGTAAATTTACCTGGAGCACCTTTACAGAATTGCTTCGATTTGAATGATAATGTTACCTCGACAACTCCGGGAATGTGTCTTGGAGGGACTTGCACTTTGATTGCATGAGATGTAATTAACTGGAAAAGACGAGAAAAGGAATCATTAGTTGATATCAATAATCAGTCAATTCAGGTTGAAAAACAATGAGTAAAAATGATTATTTAAATAAAACCTTTTGTTTAAACAATTGGTAACATTTGATTTGAAATCAATGGTTTGATTAATCGAGGTGCGTGTTAAAAGATCATCACAGGTTGGCATTAAATTAAGTTGATATTCAAGTAAACATTCAGTTAATTATCAAAAGAAATATCAATTCTGAATGTTTTCTTGGAAACGTAATTCTGCCAAATGATTGCGCTAATCAAACCCAAAAATCAACTTGAATATAAAGCCATTGGAATGACCAGAAAATCAAAAAGCTTTAGATTTTAGGTTTTCCAAAAATTACCAGAAATCTTGATTAGAATCTGGTTTTAAGGTTACATTTTTGATCCAATTGTTCAAACAAGGTTTAGCTCAAGATTTGGGTTTATAAATTAAGGTTAATCAATGGAAGTCCAAAGTAATTGTAAAAGCAACTAACCTCTGTCCAAACCAATGTTGTACCAAAAACTGCTTGTAAACCTTCAAAAAAATTATCACCAATTATGACAACTTGACTTCCTCCATTTGTCCATCCTTCACTAGGAAATATTGATTTGATAGACGGAGTGGCTGAATATGGTACTGTAATGATAAAAGCAAAGTATTATTATCATAATCATCATCGTGAAATAGGAACCATCAATGAACAAATTCATCTCAATTAGTTGAAAGTGTATTAGACATTTTGTGTGTTTTTTTCTGGTTGTATCTTTGTGTGTGTTACTTGTGACCCAATCACCAATATGATTGATGATATCAAAGCTTTTTCATGTCCATATGCCAAGACTTTTTAACTCCTCATCCAAAGAGTGGAGAGACCTCACTTTTTATCATCCACTTCATCTTATCATCTTAACCATCGTCATTTTCATCCTTGTCAAGAGTCAATGTGCCAATTATTTTAAACAATTTCAATCATTTTCATCATCACTTCTGCTTTTCTCATCTTTCAATGTTTACTTGCTTCTCCTTTTTTTGTCAAAGGTTTTTCATCAAAAGCAAAGGCAAAAAAATGGGTTTATTTGGATTGTCCGTTGAAAACAATTTATCATCAAACAATCATTATCAATCATTTTAATCACCTTCAATGCTAATAATGACTCGCTTATTAGCACCAAATTGTGTTCAAATATTTACAATTTTCAAATACTCACAAAATCAAAATAAAATCTGGTTAAAATAAAAGGTAAACATTTCCATGCAATTAGCATTCAAATTCATGGTAATGTTTCAAAGTGATAATCATTGTGAAATTATCCCAACACAACAATCAGTATTATTAACCTTTTCATTAAATTAATGGATTGTAAGTACAACAATCAGTAGCTTATAAAATCAAATCATGTCATTTTACGATCCATTTAATGTATTAACTTTAACAACAAGAGGATTGACAGATTAAGTGAAATAGGAAAGTGAACCAAGACAAAACCAAAGATGATCAGTTAATTGCACATAATCAAATGTAATTGACAAAGTAATGTGAGGTTCAATTGTTGGTGTAAAAAAAGCTGAAAAAATGAAAAGAGTTTAAAAGCAACTGAATAACATTCCAACCTTAAAAATGAAACATTTGATGATTAATGTTTCCTTTTAGTAAAATTGAATGGTAATCAACATTTGACCACAAAAATGTCAACAGACAATCAATTTGGAACAATTTTAATCATGAAAAGTCAGCAACAATTTAAAAATGAATGTAAATTCCTGTTCGTCAAACATGTCATTATGTATTTAAGGCAACATTTTTTCTGGTTGATGAGTGAAAAGAGTGTGAAAAGATTGAGTCAAATGATACTTATCATTATCATTTCAAGCTTCATCTTCTTTCTTCTTATCATCTTTTCCTCTTTTGTTAAGATGATGATAACAACAACTTGGGAGGCAAATTGACATCATGTTATAATACTTACAGGGAGGGTGAAACAGGATGATAATCAGGAAAAGATATAACAGTTTCTTTCAAATCATCTTCAACCTTGTTATTGGTTAACAACTTTGCGTTTCATGTTTCAATAAAAACCTGACAGTTTCCTTTTTATATGTTCACCATCTCTGAGTAAACTTTCACATGAAAGGACAACTACTTATGTTTGCAATTTTGTTGCAATACAACTGAGTGACCTTTTTTTACCAATGTTATATCCCATTGGACATTGGTCATCTAACAATATTAGAAGCTTCTCTTCATGTAAACTCATGTAAACCTCATGTAAATTCATGGACACAGTTTATGCAGATCAACATTGATTAACTTGAGCTTTTTTTGTGTCTGGTTAAGATGACGGTTCAACCCAATTAACTGACAATAATGTTAACATTTAAATATAAAATTGATCAATATTGAAATGCTAATCATGACTCAAGTTTACTTTAAAGGTAAATGGGTTTGGTGAGGCTATTTCAATTACTTTGTCTTCTTCATCTCTTTTCATCAATCAAATATGTAAATTAAATTAATGAGTAATTTGATGCAGACTCAATATTAGGTTGGACACACACACACAAAAAAAGGTTTTCAATGATAATTATCTGATAAAACTATAAAATGAGCTTATCAACATTATCAAGTGTTAATACATTTTGATGAAGCCAAGATGGCCGGTTCAAGATGGAGATGGTGAGGATGAGGAGGAAAATGAAGGAGGAGAAATGATAAGTGAATAAATCAAACCAAAAAAGGAGGAGAAAGGGAAGATGAAGGATAAGAAGGAGGATGATGAAGGCAGATGAAGGCTGAACAGCAAGAAAGAGATAAGCTTTCATTGACTATCAAGCAAAATTCACTTTTATATCATTTTTTTTCTTCTTCTTTGCTTCCTTGGTTAATCCAATAGACACAACAATCAAATTGATCACTATTTTGCTATCAGTTTTCATTGACATGTAAAGGGAAAGGAATCAAGTGAAGGTGATGATCAAGATGACGATGGAGACAATAAGGAAGGAAATTTCTTGACAAAGATGAGATCTTGTTTTAATTGAAAACCTAATGATATTATCACAATATTAGAAGGCAAATAATTGGACATCCATTGACCCAAATTGTTAACGCATGTTGTTGGTCCTTTTCCTACACTTTTTGCTTCCTTTATTTTTGCCTTCTATTATATTACCATCACTATTATTATTGTAATCATTATGAGGCGTGATATTGAGTCAATGTGGTGAAGTACAGCACTTGGATCAAGAGTGAAATGTTGGTCGTATACAAACATTGAAATTGTCTTTTAATATTGACTGTGTTTGACTATCTGTAGGAGGTCACTGTAAATGTTTCACTTTTTCTCGTCCATTATAATGCTCATCTTTACATTTTCAACAAAATTCTAGACGGAAATGACCAAAGGAAATGTTAACGGAAATGTTATTTTCCCTTCTTTTATCTATTATTCAATGTTAACCAATATTTCAACTCATTACTCCGAGCTTCACTCTCTCCTGGTGGTAACTTCAACGCTTTTATATGACTCTTTATTTTTACAACACATTATATTCAACATCAGGTCAGGTAAAGGTTATTACAAACACTGTTATCAATAAATACTAATTACAGATTTGTTCAAGATCAAGATCAAGCAATAATAGAGTCACACACAAAAAAACATAATCAAAAGGATGAAATTATTATAAGCTGAAGCCTAAAAGGCAAAAGTAAAAGGCTGTAAAATTAATCCTTCCTTCCTGAATTAAATCATTGGCCATTAGTTGATTGTAACACGTTACTCACAAGTTGTTCACTTAATGTTCACATGTTGATATACACTTAATAAACAAATCAGATAATCAACTCAGTTGGATGAATTTAAAATTGATACACTTAAAGTAAAAAAGCATAATTTCTATATGGCTTACCTTCAGCTGGGTCTAGTCGTTTAGCTCGGCGTCCATGTTTAGAGTTATTGTGAACGAACATATTATCCGATACGGAAAGAAGTGGACTATCCACACTAACATTGGTCGATATCAAAACCTGTTAATTAATTAAAAAAATAAAGTTAAATATAAAAATTGAAACAAAAATGTAAAATTAAAAGATTAAACAATTTACATAAGCCAACAAGTCGTCATTAGGAAACGAACCCTCAAATCTTTGTTAGATAAGCAAATTTTCTTAAATTATTTTCCAAGCAACCTTTTGTATATCTTTTGTTACATTGTTTTAGTGTTAATTACTTTGATTAAATTGTGTGAATAATGGTATTAAACAAATATAAAATTGAAGGTAAGTAAGGTAAATAAACAATTAAACCTTGATTCAATGAATATCATGAGAAGACAATTTATTTGATTGTTTCTCTTGATGCTTAATTTGCTTTTGTTGCCTTCTAAACCATCTTTCCCAACATAAAGCCATCTTTTTTTCACTTTTTTTGTGTTTGTTTCTCTACACAATTTAACCCTTTTGTTATCCTTCCCTCGTTTATCTTTTTTCAATATGCTTTTTGTTTTATATAATTTCTCTTCTTTGCACTGCCATTATTATGTTTATCATTAATATTAACTCTTAATGCAAATACATGTATGTATACGTCTAACCATAGAAGCAGTTTCCGTTTTTCAACACAAGAAATAATAATCATCTATCTTTATATTATATACATTTGTGTATGTATATGTACGTAATGATAAATATACGCAAGGTTGTGCAAAAAACAAACAGAGTAACCCAACATAGGATGAACTACCTCAATGTAAATGTTTACTTGGTGTAGTAGTCATCAAAGATACTGATGATGTTTACTTTGCTGCTACTTGTGTGCAAAAATATAAAGGTAAAGATTATTGTAATAATTTTTACCATTACTATTGTTAATATCATTATTATCTGTACAGGGGAGGAAAAATGTTCAGGTTAACTTGATAGAAGACTGGATAATTTTCAATTCAACATGAGTTTTATATTTGTTGATGTAAAAAAATCATTTTTATTTTATTTTCGATTCTATTGATCAAAAAATACATTTTTCAGTGATATAATGATAAAAAATAGTCTTTCAAATTCATTCAATAATAAAAATGATAATCTGAAAGCAAAATTTTGTCTCAAAAATGAATCAGTAAACATATTAATAGTTATCCATCACCAATTCATATGAGAAATAATAGTCATTGATAATATTTTCAATTATTCCTGATTTTTTCAATCATAATAATAATTTGATTATTTTACTTTCTTGTCACAGGTAAACACCATTCCAGGATTGTATTGATATTGGTAGTTGGACTGGAAGAGGAGAAAAAAATGAACGACTCATTTCAATAATTGAATAACTCATCTGATCAAAGGAAATTCATTCAATGGATTCTGCGTCATATTTTCACTTCAAATTTGGCTTTACTTTTGCTGTTCAATTTTTATCAAGATTCTGAGTTATTCTGGAAACTAAATTGGTTACAATGTTGCTCTTGGTTTATTTAGGTATCATTGTGATGATATGATAAATATGAGCAGAAAATTTTGTTCTGGTTTGGTTACAGTGTAAATAACTCAGAGAAGAGGAAAAATAGTTGCAACAAAAATGGACTAACTATTACTTGGATTGATATATTGTGAGTAACTTCATAAGAATAGTTAGTTAAATATTCATATGCATAGTAATAATCTTTCTCTTTATCTCTTTCTCTATTCTTCTGAATATTCATTTAGATTATATAAAATAATCCATTGGAAAGGAGGGCGAAAAAAGAGGAAAAAAGATAATGTTGCATTTTGAATAATAAAATGGATCCCAGTTATTACAATTTAGAGTTTGCACTTTACTTGGTTAATGTAACTCTGTCTACACTGTTAAACCTGATCAAAGCGCAACAATTTGTTTCATCTTGTATAACTATTGTTAAACAAGGTAAGTGAGAGGATTAAATGATCATACAATCATACATATTAACAGTCAACTCATTTTTGTTTTTTGCTCTTTTCTCCTTTCTGCTCTTTTCCAGTTGTCACTACAATAATGGAAAACATGGTAGATTAATCCTGCCAAGGTGTTAACCCAAATTAACTCTCAACATGGAAGTCAATGTAATGTGGATAACAACAAAGCTACTGAACATTAGGAGAAAATGACATGAAAATAATCAAACCAATGGATTTCAATTTGTTATAACAGCGGATATACAAGAAGAAGGAGAAAAAATTGTCACAAAAATTATAATAAATGAGCTAAGACTGTGCATTTATCAAGCCATTGGAGCACGCACTTTTTTCAGTTGAAAAACAAAATCAAAAAGGATAAAGAAATGTAGGTGGTGAAAAAAAATTGGAATCTTGGGGAGGAAAACAAGTTGTTATTATGATAAAACGATTTTACAGGTCAAAGAAATTTGCTGAACCACCTCGTCACAATCATTTCTCATACTCAACTTGAAATATAAATTTATGGTTCATCTTCCGTTATTTTGATCGATATCATCTATTTATCTGAGTATTACTATATACAGTAGACAAAATATATGAATATGTGTTGAGCAAAAAGTTATACATGCAATGACTTTAGGTTCAAGACATTTCTCTTCATAAGGCAGTAGGAAGATGAAGTAAAAGGAAAAGGAGGATAAATAGGAAAGATAAAGAGGGTAAAAAGCACAAGGCTGTAAGATGATATAGTGTCAAGGTAACTCGGCTGATGATAAGGTTAGAGGAAACATTACAAATAATGCACGCTTCTCAATTGGTAGAGATAAATCATGTGTACACATAAATCTACTTTTTGATATTATCTATTCTCAGAGTTGATCAAATTCAAGACTTACGGTTAAGGTGTAAATAACGGTGAAAGTATGCAAGATATGGGAGTAAAGGATTGCATTAGAATAGATGAAAGAGTTGCCAAAAACAAGGCTATTAAATAATCAAGGAAAAAGGGGAAGAAAAGTAAATCAAAATCCAAAGGTATTTAAGGTTAAACTATAATCCATAAGGGATGAAAATGATGATGAACTTTATTGGACCATCCAATGTTGTATAATTTATGAGCAACAAATGCCTCTAGAGGATCAATATTAATTTAGTGGCAACAACAACAAAAAACTCTTCTTTATACTGACTCACCTGATTGGACATGATGAAAAGAGTTGCAGGATATAATAATGACAATGATAAGGAGGACGTCAGAAGTTGCCTATTTTCAGATCACTTTCAAACTAATTTTTCTTATGTATTTTTTTATGCTGAGTTCAATAATATAAATAATTTTTTTGTCAGAGTTACCGTTCGAAAGATATATACGAAAAAAACAAAGGAATTTAAGGATAGAGGAACGTAAAAGATTCATGAATAAGAGTTAGAATTATGTTATCTAGATTTGTTTTTTATATAATTCAGTGTTCTTGATCATATATTTGTAATAAAAAACTAGAAAAAATGGTGCAAAATACCCAAACATTTAAAAGTTAGATCATTCGCATTTCGACATTTGTTTTAACCATGTTCCAGGTAGGGACGCACAATGATATTCACATTTTAGACATAATCAGCTATGCTGATTTCATATTTAAAATAATAAAGACAAAAAAATGGTGCAAAATAAGTCAAAGGTAAGAAAAACTATTACGAGTTTGTTCGGGTCGATTTCTGTCCATGTTCCAGGTAGGGACGCACCATGATATTCATATTATAGACATAATCAGCTATGCTGATTTCATATTAAAATAAAAATG